CCGGGAGTTTTCAACCAACAGCAGCACATCACTAATGATTAACCTGCAAAATGTTGCTGAAAAGATGCAGAATAACCCTGAATGCTGCAGGGCAGAAGTACTGTATGTCTCTTCTCCTTTTTATGTTGAATTCAGAGCTAATGTATGTGTTTGGTGTCTCAACCTCAGGTGCCGTGCTTGATAAAGGAGTTATTAGAGAAGCACTTTGATTCAACTGAGGCCATACAGAAGTTTCTGATGACTCCTGCTCCAATCAGCCATTCTGCCGCCTCTCCACAAGCAGACGCCCAATCCCATGCTTCTAAAATGGAACAAAAAGCACATGATTGGTTGGCAAAATCAGACGCAGGCACACAGAGGGTCACAGCCTTCCTACCATTTAAACAGGGAGTGCCGACAGCAGGAACTGAAGCCAGTCCCTCAAGCCAGCATGAGTCCAGCCACAGCCCACCTTTCTCTGTAGCTGACATCAGCACAGCTATCTATAAGAAAATGGCTGCCAGTTATTCTGTCAGACCACAACCTCTCTATCCCCAGAGCCAACAGCAGCCTCTCCTGGGCACTAACCACACTGACACCCCTCCAAACCTCCAGCAGGCCCATGTGGGTGCTGACAGCTGGGGTGGAAAGGGAGGGGTAAAGGTAACTCTTTTGGAGCAGGAGTTTGTGGATGTGACGTCCATGTCAGCCCAGCAGATCCTGGATGAGTTCATGCAGCAGCTGCAGCCCCATAAGGAGACAGGTGGAGGGAAGGAGCCGCAGGGTGGTCAAGAGTGGGCGAGTGGAGCCGAACATACGGGCAAAGTGGCAGACTGAAAATGGCATCCAAAAACATGGCAGGATGAATGTATATGCTCATCTTATTGCCTTGAAGTATGTATTTATTCATGTGTCAGATGCAAACATTGTACCTTCAAAATACCAGTTTTGCTGAAGCTGAGAAAATCACTTTTTTGGCTTGTAAATAATAAATGATAAATGTACTTTTAGAATTTTATAAACCAGAATTCATGAAGGAAAAGTAAAGTAAAAAAAATAAATCCCACATATAAATCAACTATATTTGGACAGCAGTTTACACTCAAAATGTTTTACCTAACAGTGAATGCATGTAAAAATTAGTCAACAGACCAATTAAATGCTAAAATATTTATGAAAGGGAAAATAAATATAATTATAGCAAACTATTTCCACGTATACTTAATACCTTTATTTCCATTTTAAGCAGCCATTTTAATTGTGTTTTACTTTGTCTATTCTTTTACCCTGTTACCCTGTGATTTCCTCCCAAATTAACAGTAACCATGCTGATCACATAAAATGTCTGCATACAAAGTCACCATTGTCACTGTTGACAATAGTGACAATCAAAATGGCCTCCGTGCCCCGAAAAGTGCCAGTGGGCACAGATGAAGTGACTCATCCAGTATTGTCCCATCCAGTTGATGTGAAAAACAGCCTTTTTTTAAGATAAATACGTTGTTTTTAGATAAAAGCGGTATTTGGCTTTTATTATATTGTACAACATGACATTAATGATTTCTGACAGTAAGCACACACTATTATTCAACAACGTTAGACGTTTTATCAGGGAAGCTTTTTTAAATATTGGATTTTATTGGAGAGATGGCTGTGTTATTAATTATTATAATTCAATAAATGGCTGTTGAATGACGAATGACTGTAGCTATCTGAAGAATGAAGTCAACCTTTTCAAATGCTGAGAGGTAAGTGGGTCTCAGTCACTTACCTCTTGAAGCTGCTTTCACACACTTCAGAGAGTTCATAATAGTTACCATTCAGTAGCAGCCTCAATGTCAACATCAATTGAAAGATATTATTTCTACTTTTGTTAATAATAATAATTCAACCAAGCTGACATACCTCTTGAAGTTTTTACACAGACAATCTTATTTGTGCTTCCTTACATTGTTCATTTTTAATGGTTGTACTTCATATTTGTGAAGAAATTTAGGCTGAAGGAAGAAAACTGCTCTTTACCTGATATGAAATTATTTAAAATATTTAAAATGATTTACTGGTTTATGTGAAATATACGTTTAAATTTGTAGAAAATGTAAAACAAATGACTTTGTGTCACTCTGTATTGACTCTGTGTATATATGGTACATTCCTTCCTTTCTGAAATATTATGGGGTAGATGTTTTAAGCTGATTAGTGGCACAACCAAACGTACAGTTAAGTCACATTAAGTTCAAGGTATTGTGATAACGTAGATTGGATAGAGTGCAGCAGCAACACCTAAATGTTATTTTAATGTACCTGTACCCTCTGCATCATGCAATTATCAATACTGCTACTCTGCATCAATTCAATATACCAATAAACAATACTCAAATTAATACAACATCCCAGATTATATGTGTGTGTTCATTATTCATTATTTCTTGTTCTCTCTCCTTGTTAACTTCGAACATCATGAGTAATCTCTCTTTGTATAAAAAATATAGAACCAGTCATGCTTATTTGTCCTTAATTTGGTTCAATAAATAAATGTTGTGTTCGCCAAAGTCCCAAGAATCCTTCGCTCAGGGCCTTGAATATGAATGTTTAGCTGTAACATCTCTGCCACTAGAGGGCCGAACAAGTTTGCTCATCATGTTAATGTGAGCAAATCTCTCAAATCAATCTCCCCATCTAAAGACATCACCGGATATGTGATCAATGCTGGTGTGGTAAAAGAACATTAATGGACAATCTCTAAATATGAGTCTGGGTTTGGTTTAGTTTTCTGTTTGGTGTGTTGTAAGAGCTGTTAACTCCAGACTGGTTCCAGTCTAACTATAGCTCCAACTCAAGCTGTCATAAATACTTATAATAACAGTTTAATCCTATTGATGCAACCCCACCAACCACCCCTCCCTGTTGCATTGTATTCATAATCCCATAAAGCATAACCCTCCTCTCCCTTGTCTTACTTTCACTTTACATGATCCTACCTCTGCCTAACCGTCCCCCACAAGAGATCGTTTTAGGGACAATATTCCCATCATTTCCGTCAATAAATTATTCAGTGAATATGGGTTGAAAGAATAAAGAATAATTATCACACTTTGTCCATTTTCAAGACATAAAGGAAGGCAGAGATACTTCATTTCTTTGTTTTGTTACTCATATTGTCATATACTGTACAGTTGGTTGTCGTGTCATTGTAATGCCATGACAGACTCATTTAGTTTGGATGCTTTATATTGGATGCTGGTGTTCATTAAAGGTAACATTTGCAGTATTGGAAAGTAAATCAACTCAAGTTATGTGCTTAAGTGCAGTTTAGAGGTACTCGTACTTAACTTGAGTATTTCCATATGTACTTTATTCTTATACTCAACTACAGTTCAGAGGGAAATATTGTATTTTTAACTACATGTATTTGGCAACACTAGTTAAACATAATGGAGCTCCTTATCATGTCTGTGTCTATGAGTTATTAGCAGTTCCACCAAAGAGATTTACCCTCTAAACTTCTCAAATGGTTTAAATAATATAAATAACTGTTCAAGGCTCAAAAAGGTCAAGTTATCCAATAACACACACACACACACACACACACACACACACACACACAGACCAAAAAATCAATACAGATTGGGTAGAACAACTTTTTTCTTCTACTTCTCCCATTAATCATCCCAGGAGCCCTCAGATTTATCTTGTGACCCTTTAGGAGAGAGGCCCGACTCCGAGTCTGCGACCACTAGACGAAACTACCTAACTGTAAAAAAAAGTAGTTAAAGCCAGAGACCATCTTGTGTTTCAAGGCAGAAATAGGTCTAAATATAGGTCTATGACTGTTTCACTGTCTGTTGTCCTGCATATGCATTGAAACAGTCATGTTCAATACTGATGTATGATTATTGAGTAACACCCCCCACTGCCATATGTTCACGCATGATGAATATGCACACATATATTTACACATTTATGTACTAATGAAACAGTAGTGAACAACAAAGATTAAATCCACAACTAAAACACATTCTGCCACACTTCTAAATCAACCTCATCCACATAATCATCACAAGTCAGCACTCAGGAGTTAAATATCTCGTACACACAGACACAATTCAGGCATTTATTCATAAAACTCGTAGGCCCCCGTCCCTTAAAAATCGGATTTTGATTTGATTTCCACTTCCAGCAGATAATTGTGAAAACATCTTTCCAGTGTCAGACTCTGCACAGACATCATTCTGCACAGTGAATCTCAAACATCACACTGTAGGAACAAGAAGAAAAACATATCTTTGAGTTGGATTTAAGTAGGAGTTTGAGTCCAGGACTTTAACTTGGAGTATGTTTTTTACATTGTGGTATTGGTACTTTTACTTAAATAAATGATTAGTAGTTCTTCCAACACTGGACATTTCTCAGTGTTTTAAGTCAAACCTGGTTTTAATTGATCCGTCTCTCCTCTCACTGGATATATTTGCCTTATTATATAATAAAAAATTCAGCATTATAAATTACATTTTCTTGCTTATTTCATCATCTCATGGTATTGCTACATTTAGCATCAACTGTGTCTAGCTATGAGATCTATTCTGTCTGTGAGGATTCCATAGAACCCAACCTGTGCTGAGAGGTTTCAGGTAAGTCCACCTGTCATAATAGTCCCTCCCATACTATGTGTCTATCAGAACAAGTTTGCTGATCAGACACTGGCCTGCTTTCCCATTGGCCCCTGGACTTTAATAGGATCCCAGGGACTCTGTTGGGGGATTACGGCTCCAAACTCTCGACTTTGGCCAGTCTCTGTGTCCTCCAACCATGGGTACAGCGGTTTAGGGGGGCGCCGCACATGAACAGACCCAGAGGGGCGCCATCAAAAGACCACATCACGTCAAGAGGAACAAAGCGTTGGTTTCAGCTTGAAAGGGGGACTGTGGCGGTGTGACCAATCAACTTGAGGGGAAAATCTATCATCTCTGGATAAGGAATATCACTTTTCTTTCATAATTCTATATTTGACCATTTTCCCGTGGTCTGCTGCACTGATTTGGATTATAAAACATCTTTTTGGGACAATTTCAACATCCAAGTGAAAGCTTTTGGATTATCCTCTGAGGTCGACTGTGTCCTTTACCATCTAAGGGATCTACCTGCTTATCCCCTCCACCTGGAACAACTTAGATGAGCTCAACCTGCTAATAACTCATCAAACAACAAGAGCAAGGCCTGCACTGACCACTGTGTTTCTGCAACATTGAAACCACCCTCTTCTGACCTCTGTAGGGTTTGTCACTTTTCATGCAGTTGACCTCATCTGGATTCATTGTCCATTCTGACTAGAATTTACTGAACTCCTTCCTCTTCTATCCTGCTCATTACCCGTCTCTTACTTTTCTCTCCCATCCTTGTGTTGATCGGTGTATGGTAGAGAACCATGGTGCTGTTGAAGATGAAGTTCACCCAGCAGCGGCGGGTGCGTCTGGCCCAGGGCCTGTGGCTGATGTCCTGGCTGGCAGTGATGTGCGGGACCTTCGTCTTTTGTCTGGGTGTTTACCTTAAGACAGAGATGATCCGTAGGGCCGAGGTAGAGAGGGAAGGGGAATATACCCACATACACACAAACACACACATATTAATGCAATGTTAGCTTAAAGACTAGAGGGCAAAGTCTAAAAACAATGACATGAATTACACAAACATAGGTTTATATGCTCAGACTTTCTGCTTTGCTCGTGGTTGTTTACTCAGTTTGTTGTGCTGCTGCTTATCAGTGACTTTTATTCAAACTTAGCTCTACAGCTTAAACCACAAATACAAACACGCAGCACACAAAATACTTGTGTAAACATAAACATGGTGACACTCACACATGTTAAGTCATAAGGATACAGTGTGTTCAAAGTCATTGGGGCGAATATATGTGTATTGAATTTAGGTAACATGACCAGCAGGTGAAGGTCATGACCTATACAAGACTGGTGTAATTGTTTAAGCCAACCAGTCATTGGATTGGATTGATCACCGATTGATTTGGATACGTTGGTTGCATTGATATCCAGTGGGCTGCACAGGAAAGCTGCAGGCCATGAACACATGCCTGCAGATATTTATTGATATCCACTGAGAGAACCAGATTCCACAACCTCTTAGTTGTGTTGCAAAGTGTTATTGAGTGTCAGGAAGGATCTTACAGAATGATTCACAAGAGCTGAATCCTCTTTTATACCTGTTAGACAAATGTAACATTTTTGCTTTACTTACTTAACTTCTACAGATAATTATCAAAACTGATTACTCCACCTGGAGCGGAAATAATTTCTTTTCAATGAGCATTCTGCGGCAAAGATTATTTGTCTCAAACCACAGTTGGGAGGATAGATAGGTGGCAGATTAGGGGTGAGTGTTTCAATGATGATAATTACAAAACAACAAAGGAGCAAAGGTTCTTTATGGTTGACTAAGCCAATAATAAACCCAATCCTGAATCGACTTTTGCTGTAACCAGGGCAATGAATTAAATTTGTCATCATATTGCCATAGCCTTTTGCGTCCAGTACATCAGCAGTTAATTGAATCACTTGGCAGCCAAGGTCATTTTTATAATAGATAAGGCTAATTGAATGCAGGATTATTACCTGCTAAAGTGGGTAGAGGAAATGACAGAGTGACCTGCAGTTGGCTGCTGCTCTTGTAGCTGCTCATCTTTGACTGTGCCCTTCTTTTCTTGAGGTGATGGAAAACACAGAGATCCATGTGGTGCCCAACATCCTGATGATGGTGGGCCTGGCCTCTATCGGCACTAACTGGGTTGCCACGCGTGTGTGTCAGGACTCCTTGGATGCAAGCCGCTTCCCCCGTTGGAAAGTTCTCCTGCTGGCTTGGTTTGTTGTGGCTGCACTGCTCTGTGTTCTGCTGGTCGCCGTTGTGGTGCTCAGTTACGCCCTGCAAGGACGCCTGGAAGAGTCACTGAAGGTGGGGTCACTTGGCTGGGTAATCATCAGAGGGTGACATGCCAAAGGGGTAGAGTAGGTGTCAGAGTTATGGTAAAAAGAGCTGTGTCATAACAGGATGGGGCTTCCAGATCATCAAGCAAAACACAAGATGAAACCTGCTCTCCCTCTGAGTTACTGTGCCTGAAGGAAACAGTGAACTCTCTGAAATGAAAGCGTTTGGGGGTTTGGGCTAGAGAGAAGAGTTATACTATATTCCTGCAAATGAGCAATGGGTGCAAATAAGAATAGAACGTTTACATTTATCAGTATTTAAGGAACAGAACAAAAAACAGTTAACAACAACAATGTAGTGTAATATTTGAGCTCTCACTCTTGTTTAAATGTTGCACTGAAACCAGAAAAATCCCTCAAAATGGAGAGTTTTCAAATCAGTTTTGTCATCATTTAATTAAAATATGTTTCAAATTAGACTGAAAACTGCTGCATTTTCATCTATCAGATAAAACATCCCCCCACCCCTTCTTTCGCTTTCATTCTCTCTCCACTGTCAGGTGGGCCTGAGGAATGGTATTCGGTTCTACAAGGACACAGACGTGCCAGGCCGCTGTTTTCAGAAAGAGACCATTGATCGTCTGCAGATGGAGTTTCGCTGTTGTGGGAACAACAACTTCAAGGATTGGTTTGAAGTTCAGTGGGTCAGCAATAGATACCTGGACTTCACCTCCAAAGATGTCAAGGAGTGAGTGAATCACGATACAGGGATGATCAGATTATGAGATGCAGGGAGATGAGATGACGAGCTATAAAGAGAGGAAACTAGACAGATGGAGTCAGCACAGGAAAGAGAAGAGAAGGAAATAGAGGTCTAGATGAATGACAGATAAGTAGATTCACATTCTTAAAGGTCAACAATATGTTATAGAGGAAGGATGGAGGGACGCCAGGAGAAAAAGAATGATGTGAAGGTAGAGGAAGACTGCATTAAAAATAGATCTGGCCTTTACTTTAGAAGAGAGTGACAGAAATAGATGGAAAGGTTAAAGCATGCAGAGAAAGGTTGGTCAAAGATGAAATAAGTGAAAAAGGAATGAATAAACAGAAAGGTTATGACATGATGACACTTGTATAGAGGCACTGCTCATTCTCAATAATGTTAAGTGTGTATTGAGCTGAAAATCAGGCCGTTAACTTACCTGAAAATAACAGTTTCTGTGCTTTCCTCCAATAAAATGAATGCCCCCTCTACCTTCTCTTCCTTCCTCATTTCTGATCTGTTTCCATCTGTTTTCTCACCAACCTTCCCTCTTCTGTCTCCAGTCGTATCCGGAGTAACGTGGACGGACGTTTCCTGTTGGATGGCGTTCCTTTCAGCTGCTGTAACCCTGCGTCCCCTCGCCCATGCCTGCAGTACCACCTGACAGACAACACTGCCCACTTCAGCTATGATTACCAAGCAGAGGAACTCAACCTGCACAACCGCGGCTGTAGGCAGGCTCTGATTGACTACTACATGGACTTGATGAATTCAACTGGTCCTGGTGTGCTGTCAGTCATCTTAATACAGGTGGGATGCACGATAAACACTTCAGTTATTATGTAATTGGGTTAAAATTCAGGAAAAACACGATGATCAGTATTTCTCCAATGCACAGAGAGTTAATTTGTGTGATTTTGTTTTTAACTGAATATGCTGACACACTCACACACTCACACACTCACACAAATATAAAAATATCCATTATTTTAAAGGATATTTGTGTCACACAGACTGCCATGACAACTGACAGAAAGCAAACCTCACTGACACACATTGATTTCTGTCTTTTAATCAATGCACATGCCCTTTCACTACTTTGCCAAATAACAGTATTGATGGGTCATTCTCTTAAAATAACAAACAAGACCTCAGGCTCATACACATGTTTAACAGTGCACCATTACACACTACCTACAGCTGATCAAACAATCTATATTTTTAAATGCAGCAGCTCAGTATGGTGTTTTTCTAGTCCATCATGAAGAGGCTAGATGGCTGCCATGTGAAGAGTTAACAAGGTCCCAAGTTGAGCCCTAGATCATGTCTGGCTTTCAAGCCAAAGCCCAAACCTGCTTTGAACCATGTAGCCCAAGAACAAATAAAAGAGAAAACAGGAAGCATGAAATGAAAGGTTGCTGAATGTTATTCTCTTATGTTGCACTGACTGTGTCCTAACTAATTTATTTTTGCTGTATTTGGACCTCAGAAATGTTTGCTTCTCATTGTTTGGATGTCAGTGCAGACCCCCCCCCCCAAAAAAAGACAGACTACCTAACACACACAATCATTTTCATACAGTCCATAAGCCATTATTCCAAAAAAGTGTGAATGCTTTTAATATGAACTCAAATTGACTTTCTATCTCATCTTCATGCACGCAGTAAAACTTAATTATTGATATAATCATTTTGAATGATCCACGGTCAGAATGAATCAGCATCACTACTGAAGTAGAATCACAATTAGAAAATATCTTTATAGTTGTTGAAGTTGCTCACACAGTACACGCCGAATAGCAACATACACATAGTGTTACAAGACAAATAGAGTGTGTGCAAATATGTGCATGCTTCATAGCTTAGTTATTCAGGTTATTGAGTTCCTTTTTATGGTTACTGTGATAATAAATCTGTGACATAACATGATGAACTAATGTAACAAAACGGTTGCTTCTCTTCAGATGGATCAATTTTTGTGAGCCCATCAAGCCTTTTTGTGACAAATACTGCATGATGATTTTGGATGCAGTTTTTACAGCATCTTTATTGTGTCTTTCTGTCCAGATGTCAGTGATTCTGAGCCTGCGGTACCTGCAGACCGCCGTGGAAGGAGCCATGGCTCTGGAGGACCCGGAGGGCGACAGTGAGGGTTTTCTCCTGGAGAAGGGTGTGAAGGAAACCTTTGAAGACGTCAAAGCCAAAGTCCTCGCCATACTTCAGTTCGGGCAGGTTGACCCCAACGCCGAAGAGTCTGCAGACACAGAGAAGGCTGCTTCCCCAACTCCTGCCAGCTAGACGGGGAAAATATTTAAATATGAGCTGAGGAGGAAGGGATGCATGGGTGGGATGTGTCTGTGGTTTTTTTTTTGGTTGTGTGAGTTGGCTGGTGGCGGGTAGAATACCTGGGTTGGGTTTTGACATGTTAGGCTTGATTTACACTCCACCAATGCAGCAGCCACATGGCCAAACCAAGGCAACACGTAGGGATTCTTGTCAGATCCTGCACAGACACCAAAATAAACATCTCCTCAGTGCAGGACCTAACGAACATGTAATCATCAGAGAACCTGTTCAGGAGATGTGTAGTACTTTTTGTTGCAACTAGAAGAGAGTACATTCAGTTTAAATGGGTGTAGCGTTCAGACACATGTTTAAAACATTTTGTTATTTGGCTCAAATTTGGTACAGTCACATAATGCTCAATGTTCATCCCATTTGCATTTGTATTATTCATCTCCCAGCTGTAGAGTTTGTACTCAACTGAAATGAAATGCTTATGAAACTGTTAAAAATGGCAAAGCACATGAAATATTTATTAAAGGTAGAAGTTTTAAACTGCTAAGTAGAGTCGGCTTCCTTTTGTAGCCTCCATGTTACATAGAGAAGCGAATTCCCTGAGTGTCGGTTATCTGAGTTCAGCAAGGGGAGTTGGATTAAGTGTGTGTGTTTGTGTGTATATGTGCGTGTGAGTGTGGTGCCCTATATGAAGCTGTCATCTTGTCTATTCTGGCAGCTCTGAAACAATCTGATAATCCTGGAATAGTTAATCCCAGAACTGCTGCACAAGCAGTATCAGCACACACTGACAGCACACGGGACACGCTCAACAGCACACTCATACAACATGTTGGAGGTTATTTTATAAAGTAAAACAGTTTTTAAATGCTTTTTATTTGCAAGGAATATAAAATGGTGATCTGTCCTAGCTACAGGTATATCCATTGTGTGCTCATTCTTCTTAAATAAAAAACTATCACAGAATGAGGTCAATGAATGTTTTATTCTATTTATAACAAGCAGGTATACATGTTTTTAGTGGTTGCAGAAAGACATAAATATACTTTGTTTTTCATGTCCCAGAAGGGAATTTTTTTTTGCAGTTCTACAGAAGATAAAAAAACCCTACATACTAAATAACAAAAGGAAAAAAAGCAACAATCAGCCTCCATGTAACAGTTTGCACATACGTTATTTTAAGCAAGCTCTTTAATTATAAAACACAATATGCAGAAGATGATGAAGTAAACTTTTGGTTTCAGGCTTAGTCACATCCTCCCAACATAATACCTATAATAATTGATTCATATTACAGTAAAACAAGGAGATATAGTAAATTAAAACAAAGTGAATACACAAGTCACAAACTCTCAGAATTGCTTAATAATCAGTTCTCATACATTTTAATTAAGTGAAAGAGGACATCTATTGTGTTCACAAATACATACAACTATAAACCTACTACATTCATAATAAAATACAATTATAAACCCATGTCCCAACTAGAATGAGTCTGTATAAAATGATAAAGACTTTACTGCCATAAACGAGTGTTTACTTTACAGGAAGTGCAGCACCAAAATAAAAGTAGGGCTGCCTGGTTACACTTCCCCCAGTGATTTTGTTATGGAAATAATGATGTAATGCATCATTTCTAAATAGGCAAATAGGAACTTTAATCTGAATCCACCAGAGTGCGCTGTTGCACAGTGTTTGAATATGTTTCAATGAGCAACATGCAGCGAGACTGACAACCCCACAGCTCTGACAACTTTAATAATGGCAATAATAACAAAGTTATTGAGGGCGCTGAGTGGGTTTCTTATGCAAATGACCTAAAATGTAATTAACATAGGCTGTGCAAACAACATGTTTTTGAATTATGTTGTTAAGTAAAAGGCATTTCCATACAGCTATACATAAATGAATGACATGCATTAAAAATATGTCAAGTATAAAAACTGTTGTCATAGGAACATCCAAGTCCATTATCTCTGCACATAAAACCCAATTTATGTATGTTTTTACTCCTGTAATTTGTGTAGATATATATCTCTCTCTCTCTCGTTAGCCGACGTGTGGAGGGCGTGTGACAGTGTCGGCTCAGAAGAAGCAAAAAAAAAAAAAAAAAACTCGACATGTGCGTTTTGAAAATTGCGGTGTGGTTTTGCAATGAAACTAACTGACACACAGTCAGAGAGAGGAAGAGACAGAGGGGTGGAGGGAGGGGAAGGGCCGCAGAAATGTCAAACTACTTCACTTGACACAAGATGGATTCTCTCTCTTTGATTCATTACATCCATAGCGTTGATAATACTTTTTAATTAGCGGTCTTGTGTGTAGTGTTTCACAGGTCTCTTAGCACAACAATGGACTCTAACATTATGGAGATAATAGAGGAATTCATGGAAAGTGCGTTGGTGCAATGGGTACGTCATTTATCATTTATCACTCTCAGTTAGAGAAAAGGTCATCATTTCTAGAGAAAGAGAGGGGAGAATAAAACTGATTGTGTAGAAAGTGTGTAAGTTTAGAGATTCACTTCCGACAGAGACCAGTTCCGCTGTAAACCTACATTATTTCCAGTCACGAGTACTTAGGACATACCTTTTTACAGAAGTCTACTTTCCAGCTCCATTTACTCAAATAAATATAAAAGAAGGAGCTAAAAAACAGTAAGAAAAACAGCCTAGATAGGCCAACCACTTTTTGCTATTGTGTGCAGCAAAACAAACACTTCTCCTTTTGGCAGCTTCCCTTGCCTTTTAATGACCAGCTTTTTTTTCTCTCCTAGCCTTGAAACTTCCGTGTCCTTGGGCTGTCTCTGAAAATAATAGCTACAAACCTATGTACTATATATTCAAGAGAATATAGTCACTAAAATCTGGTGTGTTTGTAACAGACTGAATTTCCAGCTGGGGTTTCCACATGGGCAACCAATCAGCCCAAGGGGATGTTTTTTTTTCTCTCCTTCTGGTCAATGAACAGTATTTACGATATAACGTCATACAGCGCTGAACCTTGGAGGCGTAATCTCTTTATTGTTGCCCTCCACCAAAGGTGGGGTCAGAGGTCAAGTTCAACAGTATGCCTGCAGCTGGCAGACTTTTAATATTTGCTCAAGGGGGCTTCACTGTCACGTGAGCTGTCACCCTGCTTCACATATGCTGAAGGACATCCACTGTAACCGCTCTCTGCCGCTGTCGCACAGGGTCTCGAGCTGCTCTGCCTCACCTTGTCAGCTGAACCAACTCGAGCTTGTTACTCTGTTTACCGACAGTGCAGTTTTTTAGAAGGTGCAGGTGGGAATAAACCTCATTATATTGCAGTTTGCATTGGCACAGCTCCTCTTAGCAGTGAGAGAGACCTTGGCCACGGTCCTGCTTGGCTGCCTGTCACTGTGAAGTGCTTCCCAGTGTGAGAGCACAGATCCCACCTGTCCAGACAGGTGCACCGACTCAAGTGGCTTCCTGTGTGAAAATGTTTGCACCTCTCCATCTCCCTCCTTGTCTCTCTCTGTCTCTCTGTACCTACTTTCTGCTCCTGGCTCTGTCTTCCTCGTCTTTGTCTACCTCCTGGTACCCGCACATACTACATTATCCCTCCCTCTCTCTTTCAGGTTCAGCTGTTTGAGAAGATGGTGGAGAAGGAGGACGGCGTCCCGCTCTACAGCCAATACATGGAAGTAAACTCAATGTCCCAGAGTGCCCGGGATCGCTACATGAGGCTGACCAATGGGATTTTCCTCAATGAGGTCATGAGGGTCATGTAAGATTGATTAAGATTTTCTTGCTTCATTGCTTTGCTGCAGTAGAAGTGATCACTAGACAAGAGAAGATAAGAAGTAATGTGAACATGTGAAGCATTTCCCAGGCAATCTGACATAATAAATAAAGAAATAAAACCCTTTAGTACTAATTTTCAGCTATTTATGGAAAAATGTAATGTAGAAAAACTATAGCTGTTTAGCGTCACAGTAAGTTGCAAAAACTGGCCTTGGCTTTTATTAATAAGTTAAATGTGGAAATGGGCCCACAACCAATTATCCTAAAAGGCCCATTTTTGAGTGAAGAACCCTTAAAAAGCTTTGAAATAGGTAAGTATGACGGCTCTAAGGATGTCAGTCTGACGCTCGGCCCGCCACTTTGGTCCAGACTGAAATATCTCCACAACTATTTGATGGCTTGCCATAAAGTTTTATACAGACATTCACGGTTCAGTTCAGGCCATACAACGATGACAGCAATCATGCAGACTTAGTAGTAGACACTTAAAGAATAATAATATACAGCGTATATTGTTAGAGGTGATCTCCTGACATGTAATCCCTTTTTATTTGTCCAATTCTTTATTTTATGACCAAATCCACATCCACTTTATTGCTAAATAGCAAATGTTAGGTATGCCAGCGTGCTTAACTAACATGGTGAACACTATACCTTATTAAGCATACTAGGATTAGCATTTAGCTCAAGTACAGCCTCACAGAGTTGCTAGCACGGCTGTAGATTTGTATATAAAATTTGATGTAACGCGGTGCCCCGTGAGTTCCCCTTGTAGAGCGCATGCCCCATATATCAAGTCCTGTGAGTCCTTGCCACAGTGACCTGGGTTTGATTCCTTTGCTGCATGTCATCCCCTCTCTCTCTCTTTCCTGTCCATCTCTGACGCTGTCACTGTCTAATAAAGCACACAATGCCATAAAATATCTTTCTTTATGTAACATTCATCACATTCCCTTTTGTAACCTCACATTGTTCAGCAGCCTGTGTAAAAGAATGGCATAAATGTATGACCCATTCATATATGCCACAAATTTCCAGTGAATCATGAAATGGGTTTCTGCATATGTGCCAGCCTGTAAGTCATCTTTAATTAATTCATTACCTTCATGTTCAAATCTCAGCAAGATAAAACCTTTTCTCTCTCAACTGGTAAGACAAGATCTTTGTCAGTGTTTTTGGGAACAGCTGATTAATTTGGTCTGACCTAAGCCACGTTATTTCAACAAATAATTGCATGTGGATTCTCACTGCCTCCTTCTCAGGCTCATTAAAATGTTATTCACTCTCTGCTTAAATGCACCACTGCATACAGACTTCTCGTCTGGAGAGACGTGGTGCTGGGCTGTTTGATCAAGCTGCAGTAAATTTACCGCTATGTCTTTTCTCTGTTCGTTCCAGAGACCCGAACCCCAAGGTGGAGCGGCTATACAACAGCGAGAGGGATGATCACATGCTGAGAGTCCAGAACTTTTCTATTTTAAATCGACACCTCAGAGCCTTCTACCAGGTAGGGGAGGGTCACAGGGGGGAGAGATTGAGGTGTTGAATCAGATTATAATGAGTGAGGGCCTGGGAGTCAATAGAGCATGCACAGGGTTTCTTAACAGTTTAAAATATTTCCACTTTGAAATGATTGAAACCTGTTGAATGTACAATGAACTTTCAGTCCGTTTAGGCGCGCATAGAATTTGTGACCACAATGGAGAAACTAGAGTTTCTCTTTTAATCTATTTAACTGCATTCATATCTAGCACAGATACAAATTTTGTATGCATAGCTATTTACAATCAAAAGAAAACTATTCTTCCTGCATCTCAGTGTCTTATCCATGAAAGCTCTGAAAAGTTAGTTAGATTAAATGTTAATTTGGCTTTAAAGCTGCAGTAATCAGTGTTTTTTTATGACCATGTGTAATGAAAGGTGTCGCGTGTACTGATGAGCCCAGTGAGAGTCATCACATTTTACTACAGGGCTGAGGAGAACAGCACGAATTGAAGCTTTTTAGTGTCTTTTAGCTCATTGTTTTGGTTGTCAGTGCTCTCATTGAGCAGAGCAGCACCAAATGGCGGACAATGTTAGCAGCTAGCTAGGAATCTTAAATTCACCAGTTAAACATAAACACGGGTCCAAAGTGCTAAGGTTGCTCAGTGTCTGTTGTTGTGTGCTTTAAAGCAGGCTATGTATTGTTCTTCTAGAAAGACACTTAATTAACACTTTAAATATAGTTGACTAATTTTGTATTTGTAAATATTAAACCCTTTGATGGAGAAATGCTAGTTTTAAACTCTAGTGGAAAGAGTTCACCATCATGTCCGTCCGCTCAACAAGTTATAAGTTAAATCTAGCATTCAGTTAGCTTAGCTTAGCATTAAAGCTAACACAAGACTGGTCACAGGACGAAACAGTTAGACTGACACTGTCATAATCCACCAACCAACACCTTTAAAGCTCACTAATCAACACATTATATTTTGTTTGGTTTTATCTGAACAAAAACCAAAGTGTAAAAGCAATTTCCTGGAGTCCCTGAAGTCAGAGTGCAAGAAATAGCACCCCATCATACCACAACCTGTCATGTTTACACTTCAGTTTTAGTTGGGATTAAGAAAATGAGATGTAACGTGTTAATTAGTGAGCTTCAAATGTTTTTTTTTTTACATTTGGTCAGAGCAGGTGAGCTGTTTCCCTATTTTATGTCTTTATGTTTGGCTGCTACCTTTAACCTAGCTCCTAGTCTACCGACGTGAGAGGCAAATACAGAAAGTAAACTATTCCTCTGAGCTTTGTGGTAGTTTTTTATCTGTAAGTAGGCCTAAAACCTCAAGAACCTCTCAGCAGCGAGGCAAATCATTACATAGAAAGGAAATACTGAGGCAAACCTGTGAGACAGTTATACACACCTCACAATCATTTGGAAATGACTCTGGAATGAGCTGCATCTGATGTGTTTTGGAAAAATGTCTTGAATAGCCCTGTTCACTTTCTCTAGCAGTTCTAGCCTAAAAAGTTCTGAAAAACACTCTTGTAATGGCTTTTTTGTTGTGAGTGGACTGAAATGACTTATTATAAATAGAAACGTCTTGTAAAAACGCTGAAATATCCTTCTAAAACATAACTCAGGGCCACACCAAATGGCGAGGGAGAGGGGGGTGATGGCGGAGGGCTGGAGGAGCAGTTGTCTAGCTGTAAGGTTGTAAAAATAGAGGACAAGATGAAACTCAACTGTCAGTCTCAACACATGAATACTTCGCCAGAGGATATTGTAGCAAGTTTGAAGTGTATGCAGGGGGTGACGGAGCGTTTGCACGCAAGAGAAGATGAAACACAGAAAATTGTCCCTGCTTATTATCAGGAAAATGGGGTGAGAAAAGTGGAGGAGTGGTGGGCTGAATTTGTGGCTAGGGGCTTGAGGAAGGAAAGTGAATAAAAGTCTATCAAAAAGCAGTATCATGCATTTCATTATGTGTATTGTGGGCGCCTGTGGCATTAGAGGAAATGACACAATTCTTTCCCCGGAGGATGATTCAAAGGGCTTCTGTTCTCAGCAAAGAACACCTCCCCGAGCGTTAGTCAGGTGGACTGAACATGCAATGCTTAGCTTGTCACACAACATAAGAACACGAGTCTACAAGGTTTCACTTCCTAATTTTCAGTGAATCACTAATGTCCCTTGAAAGCTCAGAGCGGCGCAAAACACTGCCGATAATTGGGAAGCTCATACCAGTCGGTGTTACACTAGAATTTCACCTGGTGCACTCAGAATAGGCTCCACTGTCGCTGTGAACGTTTAGTTCCACGTTGGTCACAGTTTTACTTCTCGCTGTCTTTTTTTGACACTGTTTTGCTGTGTATGTGTTTATGCGTGTGTTAGATTCACAAACAGTGTGTGTGGTGAGTGTAAACCGCAGCAACAGTCTACTGCTTGGCAAGGTTTAATTTGCTCTGCTATGACCTCAGTTTCTCTAATACTGAGCTATTTGTGTAGATGATACAAGCTGAAATCTCTTTTACACTATACACTCATCTATACTCTAGTGTCATCTGAAGGCTCTGTGTGACAGTTAGTACTCTATTCTGTTCTTTAAGTTTCTCTTATATTCTATTTCTACTTGTATTATTGTATTATGTTATTTTCTGCTACTATTGTTATATTAATATTCTATTGATATTATTTTATGTTTGTTGTTTGTTGTCTTCGATAATATTCTGGACTATTCCTTGACTCTGCTATCCCAATATATTCCGTTTTGTTCTATTCTGTTTGTCCTATCCTGTGCTGCTTGTATTGTATTATATTCAGTCCTATTATATTAATTTTCTATTATGTTCTCTTCTCTTCTGTTCCATCTAAAAGCCTTTAATGCCTCTGAATGGAGACACTTAGTTTCCAGCCTTCTAATGGGATTTTAAATGTTAATTTCTCCTGCCTACTAATTTATTGACCCCCCCCAACATTTAAAGATCTCTGTCCTCAGTAAACCGTGATATTTTTTAAGGCTACTGAACATCCAATAAATTATGTTTGAATTAACATAAAAATCCACAGATTAAATCAGATGCGCATGTAAATAAAGGAAAAAACAGATAAAGGAAAAGTGAGGCCGCCCACAGAAGCATTGATAATCAAAACCAGCACCAAACCAAACATAAAGTGGAATTATTGATAGAAAAGATAATGTTGCAGATGGATTTTAATTCTGTTCACCACTGCAGCCAGCAGCTTGACGAAAAATGTTATTACAAATTCAGGACAACTGTAAACAACACTAGATTATATTCAGAGGCAGGCTCATTGAGGGATAAAGGCTAAATCCTAATGTCACTGGCAAAAGTTCTACTTCCTTTAGAAATTAACCTTGAGAAGAATTGTCCTGGAAATCACAGCTAGCACAGATGATTGCACCATGTATTACTCATATTGTTAATCTCTTACTTAAGCAGGGTATATAATTGTACCAAACGACGATGTGTAAAATATAGCACTGGAGGGATTTTAGAAAAAAAAACAACAACACCCGGTGTGTTTTTTGGCTGTATGATGCCAGAGAGGAACTCCAGAGAGAGGATGTGAGCATGCCAACGACAACAAGCAGCTTCTATATAATTTCTCTCAAGGCTAATCTCTTGCAGAAGTCTGTTTGGCATCATGAACCATGAGCTGCACAATGACCAACACAAAGCTGCAGTGGCTAATATCCTACATGGCCTGAAGGAACAGAAACTTCAGGTTGGCTGCACATGCGTCTGATGCCAAACTCACTCACGATGGAGTTGCTGAAGGGAGAGCCTGCCTCTTGGTACATTTCCTCTCTCACTGTACAGTTTATAAATTACAGTAAGCAGCAGAGAGAGCTGTAATTGTGACTTGCTTGCTTGTACTCTGGGGATTTTGCATCGATGGATTGCAGGAGGATGTGAACAGGCTTTCAGAGCAGTTGGGAAGGGAGCTAGCCAACGTCAGCTTGTGGCTCTTTCACAGAACCATTTTTAATTACCAGGGAGATTGTTCTGGTCTTTTCTGAGTTTAAGACCAAATAAGTAAATTAATAAAGTATCAGGCAGATGACTTTGCTAAAATTCCTTCAGCGAAGTCATCTGCCTGGCGAGGAGGAGCAAGGCACTGCAGGTCTGCATGACAAATACTTGTTTCTGTTGCCAGTAGAGCCAGGTTTCTGGACGGCGGAATGTCTGAGGCATCCAGCTTCTTTATTCAGCGTCATTTTGAATCTGCCAGGAGATTTGTCCAAGATCTTGAAGCAGAAACTACAACTCGCTGAAACAAGCTGACCACAGTGTTGGTCGGCCTTCTGCTAGTCCTGAGTCACCCCATTTATTCTTTAACACATTGTTAATGCTTTGCAGCACAGGGCCATGCTAGAAACCAGGGACGGAGCCAGACGTTGTGAACATTCAGGGCTTAGTAAGAGGGGGTCAGGGGGTGATTTTTCCCTATTTACAGCAGCTATATGCACTATTTTTCAAGCCAGTTGAGATTTTTAGGCATTCTGTTGAAGGCTTAAAAATCTGTACATCATTTGGGAAGAACATGATAGTTGCCCAGGAAGAAAATCATCCTTTAGAGCCTGAATCCTATTTTGTATCTAGTTGTTCGCCAACTGTCTTCATAATTTAAAACTATAACACAACAGATGTTGAGGATGACTAATTTTAACCCCTGCCACCTACACTGTCTGATGTCATTATTTTAAAGTTACATAACATAAGTATGGTATGAATTTAGTGTAGCAGAATTACTAATGTTGGAACCTATTTTTGTTGAAGGATTCTGGAGTTCATCGAATTCATGTTTAGCTGCCAAATCTGCTAGATGTGAATCAATGTGCCATAATATTAGATGGCAGTATTTCCACACTGACTGTGTTCATGATAAGATAAAACTGCTCAGACTGAGTTATGAAACTGTGCCCCCTCCAAATATTATGCATGACGCCTCAGGTCCACAGAAGAGTGAAAATTCAGCCTGAGCTCCAGTAAATCTGGTCTAACCCTGGCCAGGTTTAAGTATGTTTGTCAGATTCTCTGGTAGATTGTTGGGAGTTGAGATTAAGCAGTGAACTAAGAAAAGGGAGTAAGCCAGAGCTTTGGCAGGATTTTTGAGAGTTAGAAAAAAAAATATTGATGGCCAATGAAGCTTTTTCACAAAGACATTTTTAGTAGTCATAGAAGGAAAAGCACAGGTGTTACTAATAACATTAATAATGGCTCTTCTCTATTGAAATGTCCCAGTACAGTGAGAGTGTGACAGTGAGCCAGCACGCACAATAGCAGGACCTTGAAAGTGATGGAATTCAGCATCTTTCATTTTATTATTCACACCTGTGCTTTTCCTGACATGTTGAAATGTTACATGGGAACTGTATTTGTGTTTTTTTTTAACATGAACTAAATTAAACTCCCAGACAGCGAGCACACCCTATAAACAAATTGTGATCAAGATAGCTGGACATTTTACAGTTGGATAGAGACACTGTTTCTCACTAAATGTCATCATACTGGCATTTTTATACTGCAACATACCAATATTGATACATCTCTGACAAGCTAAAATCAGCCACTAATGATGGCCATGATAATGTACGGGTCAGCCTCAAGTATGTAGTTGTTGGCAGTGGTTGTGTTTGACGTCAGCTGTGACCTTTGTGACCCAGTATGTAGCTGTCACATTGCCCATATTATGATTATATTCTAACCATGAGGGCAACAATAGAAACACTTTTGTGTTTTGTTACAAGGTTGGTATTAATTTGTCTGGTCTTTCTTTAATGTTTCTATTACTTCTGGAGAGTACACTGAAATATATTAAATTGAATGTGTGCAAAGCCTCCTTGAACTGGGAGGACAAAAGAAAAGTTGCTCTTATCAGATATCAGCTCTTTGTTTGCACCACAAACTGCAGGAAGCTGGTGGAAAGTTTTTCTGTTGTTTATCCAGACTCACTTTGGGCAGACAGACAGGACGGGGGGGCAGCCAATCTCTTGAGAATTTATATTCACTTAACTCTTCGCATTTATTCTTTTCTTCAGGAAGACATGCAGCAGTTGATATTGATGCCTCTCCCTAATGTTGCCATACTGGGGCAGGACCCCCTAACAGGTACAAGATAACAACATGATCCTATCAGTGCGATGTCTCTCAGCAGCAAGAAAGTAATTATACTTTATATACGAGTCCATATCTCTGCTATCTGTGAGTCACATTAAGGTGATAATGATAGGGAGGACGGTGGTGGTGGGAGGGAGGTGGAGATGATGATGATAATGATGATGATGATGACAGTTATTTCTGTGTCCTCAGAGGCAGCCGTGGACGAGCTCAGGCGACTGCTGCTGCTCTTACTAGGATGTGCTGTGCAGGTGATCACACACTCACATGACCATCACACTTTCTTTTGAAGGTCAATGCTGACACACACAAAGTATTGTTTTACTTAACCTGCCGACAACCAGTATTTGGTACTGGTGCAATATTTTACATTTGTGGCCATGCTAGTCACCAGTGCAGATAGTTAATAACATAATTAGTTAAATGAAGATAACCTGTAGTAGTTTCACTTTGCAGTAGTATAAACACACCAGTATCTCAGTCAGATTAAATGAACTGTGATTCAGTCTCATAAACCAATAAAACATGAGAACTTCTAAGGGGGTTGAACCCTTTTTAGAGACCCTGTATGTTTTTAATATTACTACTGGGGGAAAATGTTGAACATTTTTAGTTGTGGCTTTAATCTAATGGACAAATTCCCGTCAGCCTCAGAGTCATGATAACATGTATTATACAGTAAGTTGCTTTGGACAAAAGTGTCTATAAAAGTGTACTGTAGCTCTATTACGCTAACATGCTACACGTTGGGGTTTCACTCAGCATGCTCACTTGCTAATTGGCATCATTAACCTACTAATATGTGTATTAAGGTTTTATTTCTTTCTCAAATAAGGTTCAGGTTGGTAGGAACTGAGTTATTACCTGCACCCTGGTAGGATTTAAATCTGTCACTACTTATATCACATCTTCCTGTTCCCTGGACTGTCGTCCAACTCACTTTTTAAAAAGATATTTCAGTCAATCTGTTCATTTATTCTAATGATAATCAATTAAAACTTACTTCTGGTCAAGTGCCTGAATATTTTAAATCTGCCATAGTCCCACAAGTTCCAGTTTTAGATAACGTCTGTCCAATATCTAAACTTCCCTTTATGGCTGAGGTTATAAGTAAAATGTATTATTATTATTTTTATTATTATTATTATTATTATTATTATTATTATTATTATTATTATTATTATTAATGAGTCTGACAGTTTAAAGCTTGTCCTGACACAGTTTAGTTAACATTTAGTTAACAACACAGACTTTTCTCTGGCACCACCCTCAGGTCAATGTAACTTTTTATGATGATAATGATCTAAATAGCGAAGTTGTTTCTCCACTTTCCATCCATCAAAAAGTAATTTTGTTGTCTGGTAAGCAATGAGCATCACAGGCTGAGGGCTGATAATTCATTCTTGTCAGGGTGTAAAAAAGGAGTTAGGCAATTGTGAATAAAAACTTTTCTTCAAATCCCAGAGTAATGAATTTATTTTAGGTGGATCAGCATTGCTAACCTTTAAAGAAAGCTATTATTTCTTTTAATGTATTGTACGGGGGCACCTGGGTAGTTCAAGGATTTGTAAAAGACAATGCCGATCATAATTTCTCAGAGGACAAGAAAATATTTTGGTTACAAAGAGAAGAAGAAAAGCAGGAACAAGGGTTCAAATTTGGCATTTTCCATTGAAAAATTACTGTAGATAATTATTCAATTATCAAAATAGTTGCAGATAAATTTTCAGTTTGTTGTTATCATTATATTTAACACACACACACACACACACACACACACACACACACACACCTGGCTCCATGTCATCCCTCTGTGTCTGCAGTGTGAGAAGAAGGAGACGTTCATTCAGCAGATCCAGTCTCTGGACATTGAGACCCAGGCAGCCATTGCCAGCTGTATCCAGCAGGTACGTTCAAGTATTAATCAAATCAAGAATCCCCCAAAAGGCATTCACAGACTGGCCGTCAGTGTGAGCTAAGACACTTCTAAAAGGATTTCTATTCCTAAATATGATTTAGCAAAGAATTTCTTCACTGTCTGGCCTGCAGACAGAGAGAGCGAACCTATTATCCTTCGACTGGGGCTTCAAGTGAGTGTGAAAATTAGCTACTTGTTATTCTGCTGGCAGCCTTTGAAGGACCTCTGGGTGCCCCTTGCTGCCACCGTAGGATGGATCCTCCACCCCTCATGTCCACCTCTCCACCTCCACCTCTGTCACATCATCCTCTCTCCTTCATCTCTTCTCTGTCATTCTCCGCTTTCCTCTCCAATAAAGTCTAAATGCCAAATTGTACTCTTTTAAGAATACCCCCCGTGAATAATTGCCAGCATTACAAAAACAGCATGTTGCATACCAGCGTGTCTGAATTACAGTAACAGCATGTTGCCCACCAGCCTTTTTCGTGCCAGGTTCTTCAGCCTCATAAATCATAGAGGTGAGAGGTGCTCTTCCTGTGTGGATGCATGCACCCCCTGCTTGCTGTTCATATGCCTTCCACCTGAGGACATTTCAAACCTGTCTACATGATCATTAGTTTTGCATGCATTAGTCATTCATTTTTGGACACACATTAGGAAGATACATTCCCTAACAACTATGAGGTTTCTTTCACCCCCTTCTGTAAACAGATGCATCTCTGCTTTGTATTCCCACAGCCTTCACACTGCTGTCTGGATTGTTTATCCCCCCAATCTGCCATTTTGTATCAGGTTTCCCAGACACACATTGATCTTATCATAGAGACTTGAGAAACTGTCCTTGCTGCAGGTGACTCAGGATCCTCGTGTGGTGCTGCCGCTTCAGTGGGAGGAGCTGGTAGAGGTTGAAGGTGCAGACTTACAGCTGGTGTTCAGCTCCATGGCCAAACAGATCCAAAGCCTGCTGGCACAGAGAGACACACACCTGGAGGTATACATGCACACACTTAAAGGAATAGTTTGACATTCTGGAAAATGTCTTTATTTGCTTTCTTTCCAAGAGTTAGATGAGAACATTATTACCACTCTCACGTCTTTGCTTAAATATGATACTACAGCCATGAGCCGGTTAGCTTAGCTTAGCATAAAGCAGTCCCTCCAGCAAGTTGTGATGTTGCGATCACAATAATTAACGCAAATTCAACCAATCCCTGTGTATTCTGCACAGTCATGCAATTTTGTGCAGCTAGCCCGGCTCTGTCCAAAGGTAACAAAATCCAGAGTAATCAAATTAGATTTGATTGCGTTTTAATAAATGAACTATAGAAGTGCTTGTAGACGGATTTTAACTAAGCTAGCTGTTTCCCCCTGTTTCCAATCTTTGTGCTAAGCTAAGCTAACAGGTAGCTGTAGCTTTATATAGATAGAATAGTTATATCAATATTCTCATCTAAATCTGGGCAAGAAAGCAAATTTGTACTTCCCAAAATGTCGAAATGTTCTTTAAAATCATAGAATCACTGGGAACATAAGCTATAATCAGTGCAACCATCCCTGACTTATTGAATAATACAGCTGATTGGAAATTGCTTAATTGGACACAGAGAGACATTAAACTGTTGCACACTTTACATACATGTATATGATTTACATCTGCTCAGACAGATGGAGTCAGACCCATGTACGGCTGCAACTACAATGCCGTCTGTGCATCACATTTTTACAGATGTTATTTGTGCCTTAAATGATTTTAACACAAGTCGTTTGTGGTTTAAGACACATACCATATAGTACATTCCCGCTGGGGAGCTCTGATGCATAAAAACCTCTCCAATGTTTTCCATAACACCCACATGATAATAAGAAAATTCTATTCAGTTTTTATGAAGTTATAAAATTTAATTAACTGGAAATTAGGACATGCATAAGTAAGTACAGCACTTGTTTCATCAGGGCTTAATTGAGTCACATATTTGATCAACATTTTATATCTTATGCTGCTCACATCTCATATTCAGTTTGTAGCTATTCACCACTCATAGTTGCAGTTCTGCCTGATATTAAAATGGTATCTCAACTGAGTAGGCTGTAGAAGAGATTGGATTTCAGAAATCACCAGTATACTGTGGGATTTGAGGTTAATGTGAATAGCTTTTTTTTTTTAATGAAAAAAATAAAAAAGGGTGTATGTCAGTGGTCTGGAGTTGCTCCCTTTCCATTGTCTGAAAAAAAGACTACAGTGAAAGGATTTTGAGAAATACTATGATGAGAAAGGTCATTTTTTTGTTTTTAAAGCATGAAGACCTGTGTTATTACCTCATATATTAACTTGGTTTCTTAATTTGACTCTGTCTTGCATGCTTAAATCTACCGAGGTAACACTGAGATCTGTTACCTGTTTTGAATAGTGAATAATATTCTGAACCTTTAGCTACAAGCTTAATATGAGATTAGAGTAGCATGAGATATTAAATTTTGATCAAATGATTTCCACTGACTCAAATAAGCCCTGAAGAAACAAGGGTTCGCATTGATCTTCTGTCTTTTAATTGTGTAGCCACATAAAAACACAAAGTGTCACATAGACCACAGAGGCTAAATCACAAATTAAAAAAAGTTGTTTTACATTAATTTTGTAGAACAACAAATTGTTTAAAACCCAAGAGGTGTACAAAGACTATAATGACATCGTACCTGCAGTCAGTGCAAATTAACAGACATCATTACTCACTATACCAAACTGTCTGTTAAAGGGTTTCCAGTTTTGAGTCACTTGTTAATGTCTGTTTCTTTGTTCCTGTAATACTTTATCTTGCATGTTTTTCCTTCTCTCTCCAAATCTTTCTCTTCTTCCGTCCTCTTTGTCCCTTGCCACATCTTTTGCCCCATCTCTCTCTCCCTCTCTCTCCCAGAGGATGGCAGAGTTGTGTCGGGAGCGGGAGGTCCAGGCTGACTCAACCACGTTGCCCCTGGGTGGTCGCAGCGAGGAGCCACCCCAAGGTCTGGCTCTCCAGCTGGCAGACAGCAAGGCCAAACTTCGCCGCCTTAAACAACAACTGTGAGTGTGTGCGTGCGTGCGTGCATGTGTGTGCGTGTGTGAATGTGTGTGTGTGTGATGGAAAAACTTAAAAGAACCTTTAGAAAAGTTGCGATAAAGGTCAACATGAAAAATGTGCAAATGATTTTGTCACACACAAAAGCTTGAGTTGTTACTCAGCAACGAGTAAGGAACAAATCAGGTACTCACTGCTATAATCCGAGTGTATTAAATGTAGACTATATCATAAAGGTCACTGCTGGCCAATTATTTCTTTCTGTAGCAAAACGTAATCTGCGCTAATCTTATTTTTTATTAGCTAACGTATTAATTAAAATAAAAATATTGGCAACTAACTTTTAACGAATTGTTTAACTGCATTTTTGGTGTTGATGGTTTTCTGTTTGTTTTTCAGGGAAGATAAAGGTGATCAGATATTGGATTACACGCAGGAGATTCAAACCATGGAAGAACAGTTGAAGAAACTTCAGAAAGAGGTACAGACAGACTTTTACTGTCAAAGAGAAGGACTGCTTTGCTTCGGATACACAGAAAGTCTTTATCACACATAAAACTTAACTAGTTTGGCAACAGCTCTAATAGACTGTATATAAGGTGTAAAAAAAAATACAGCACAGCCAACAGCACAAAACACAGGTGGCTTTTAATAGCCAGTAAATTGATCCGCTTAGGTTATGTATTTAGCTGAAATTAGACTACACACATTGCAGCCAACTACAGATGTGTGCAGAAGAACAACTGGGAGAAGTACTGGACAGTTTAGAGACAATCCAGAACAAAATTACTTGTGTATTTACATTGTAGTAGTGCTAAATTTACTCAATATACACAAATATACACTGATCAACCATAACATTATGACCACTGACAGCTGAAGTGAATAACACTGATTATCTCATTACCGTGGCACCTGTCAGGGGGTGGGATGTATTAGGCAGCCAGTGATCATTTTGTCCTCAAAGTTGATGTGTTAGAAGCAGGAAAAATGGGCAGTGTGAGGATTTGAGCGACTTTGACAAGGGCCAAATTATGATGGCTAGACGACTTGGTCTGGGTTATCATCTCTATAACTGCAACTCTTGTGGGGTGCTTCCAGTCTGCAGTGGTCAGTACCTATCAAAAGTGGTTCAAGGAAGGAAGAGAGGTGAACTGGAGACAGGGTAATGAGTGGCCAAGGCTCATTGGTGTACGTGGGGTGTGAAGGCTGGTCCGTCCAATAGACGAGCTACTGTAGCTCAAACTGCTTAAAAAGTTGATAGAAAGGTAAATAGAAGATAGAAATCACAGTTTGTTGGTATGGGGCTGCATAACATTATAACCACCAGGGTGCCCAGGTGATCATACTGTTATGGCTGATCGGTGTACACTTGCAGATGTTGTTGTAGCATCCAATAATGTTCCCAAATCACAAAATTTGCAGGCATTTGGTGCTGCAACAAAATGTGGAAGGTAAATTACTTCATTTCATCCACTGCTGTGAAACCTCAATTAGACTGAATATTAACCCTTAAATAAGATCTTGTAGAAAATGTTGTCATTTTCTTTATATTCGTGTGAAGACGTTACATTCTCAAGTACTGTACACACACACACACACACACACACACACACTCACCTTTTCCTGTATTATACCTTGTCAACATTTGCTTTGCTGCACATCCCAGTTCTGTTCACAACCTTTTTTGACCTCATCCCCACTGGTATATGAATGTATGTATGTGTGTGTGTGTGTGTGTGTGTGTGTGTGTGTGTGTGTGTGTGTGTCTGCAGAACCGTACTCTGCAGGGTGAGGTGAGGGGCATGCGTGCGCTGCGGGATGAGCTGGACTGCGCCCGAGAGCGAGCTGCACGGGCAGAGCAGCTCCAGACTGAGCTTCAGAGCTGTAAACACAGATTGCGCAGCCTGGAGCTCACACGCACTCAACTGAAGGTATAAACACACACACACACACACACACACACACACGCACCCACACAACTCACTACACATTCCTTTGAATAAGTCATTTACACCAGAAAAATAAGCAGCACGACAACATCTACACCATGAAATACATTCAAATTGTTTTGGCAGTGAGTTACATATTGAAATCTCCCGTAGTGTACAAAATCAAACACACACTCACAGTGCCTTCATACACATGTACACACAAACACACTTACTTTTACAAGTGAGGACCACACATGAACATTGCCAGCAAAGGTCACATCAAGAAGACCCCCATTTGAACCATTCTCTGAGTAGCTATTGTTTTAAAAAAATAAGTACTATTCCACTTTATCTCAACAGCCATATATAGCCTCTCAGGGCCCTGAGCATTTCAATCAAGAGTGAGTATGAACAACTCTAAAGCTCAAAGCCAGAGAATGAAATTATACTGTGTGATGTCATCAGGATTTACAGCCCGGAGCTGCTTCATTGACAAAGAGCAGGAGTATGGCTTCAGTTATTGGAGCTTTTACACCCAAATGAGATTTATTCTGAGGTAGTATAACTGTTCTGAGGCAGAAAATGTGCTCATATCCTTGTAAAACACCCCACAGTGTCCTCACTGTCACCTTCTCAGTCTTATTTGATTTATTCTGCCTTCATACTGCATCACCGTGACAGCCCAAATTAGCTGGCAGGAGAATTTTTCTCGTGTTTGGGTTTACATGCAGAGGTCTTCTCTTTTAAAGGAGAGACTTTAAGAGTAATGTCATTTTATTATGACATATTACTATTATTTGCATAGTTTTGGCCATTATTCGTATCGGTAATAACAACATTGTACTTACCGAGTTTATTGAAGAGATCTGAGAACATGGATACATCACAAAGTAGAAGGATGAGGAGGAAAAACCACATCAAACTTGTTGCTACCAACATATTGGGTGTGCTCACCTTTGGTTTAAAGTGGTTTAGATAATCTTGTTTAACTGTTATTTATAATCTGTCTGCTTGAGTTTCTTGCTGACTTTGTTGTAGCAATATTGATGTGTTTCCTGATAACTAAAAGGTTATTATAACTGCTGGAAATGATTGTCAAAACTATTAAAATAAGACCCAAGTTGTCATAAACCAGAATTATACCAGGCTGAATTATACTGTTGTATTTGTTGGCGCAATTTGTTGCTGGGAATTCAGGTTTTGGTGGTCAAACAGACTCGAAAGGCAGCCTCATATGCGGTAAATATGAAGCTACCACCAGCAGCTGGTTAGCCGGTGAACCATTTCTCATAGAATACGCAGTCCTGACTATGTTGACAATTAACTTTGAAGATCTCATCAAATGTTTGGCCTGAATGTCCACCTTCCTAACGTACATGTGTCTGTCTGTGCACGGTGCCCCCTGCAGGAGCAGCAACAGCTATGTGCAGCGCTGCAGGAGACCAAAGCTCTTCTAGAAGAACAGCTGGCGGATGCACGGGCGCGCTGCTCCTCGCTAAGGGAGCTTGAGAGGGACAATCTTCTGTTGCGTCAGAGAATTATAGACGTGGAAGCGGTGGGTGTAATTTTGATTGTTTGTGTACATGTTTGTCTAATTATGTGTGTTATTGGATATATTTGTGTGTATGCATGTATGTCTGTTTAATATGTGAGGCAATGCAAATCTTCTCTATACGATCTCTTTTTTTTTCTCTCTTTCTTTATGGCATTAAAAGTAAAAAAATATCTGTGTATGTTGTGTGTCTGTGTTTGTTGAAATCCGTTTTTCTTGTAATGAATGAATGTCCGTGTGTGTGTGCTTGTGTAGGAGCGGGACACCGAGAGGCAGCGGGTTGATGAGTTGCTGGAGATGAACATGAGCCTCCAGGCGGACCTGAGGCACGACAGCGTTCCCGCTCCGGTTCACCAACGTTTCCTCCAATCAGAACTGGACTCTGACGAGGAGCTGAGCAGACTGATTGGTCAGAGCACTTGCCTCTCTGCACCTTGTCATTTAAGACATTTTAATTAACTGATAAGAGAAAATATGTTGAGGTAATATTGGCCCACAGGTTATAAATCAAGTATAACAATTGTGAATCTCTTCCTATATCCATTTCTCTTTTTCGCCATTTCTTTTTTTCCACCTATCTGTCTGTCTCCCTTCTCCCTCTTTATCTTTTTCCTGCTTTATATTTTATTTCTCCCTCTCTCTGTCTCAGACCTGAAGCCACTGAGTGTGGAAGTGGGCGAGGCTTCAACACTGAGGCTGCTGGGAGCAGAGCAGGAGAACGCAGAGTTGAAGAGACGCCTGGAGGAGCTGCAGGCCCAGCAGGAGGTCAGGGTTCAGGGGTTTGAGGGTTAGGTCTTGCAGAAATAATGTATAACAGTTTAGTACTCCCTGGTTAAACGTTGAATCAGATCATAGATAACACAGATACTTGTGAGATAAGCTCAGTGCAATGTCCAACTCAGTGCTGTGTAAAGTAAATAATGTAGTTTCTACATCCTCCTTTTGCATTTTATAATTGATATGATCATCATGTCTCGGTAGGACGAACCATTTCAGTCAAGAATGTTAGATGAAAATGCAAGTAGACCTACCTTTCGAGTCATCCTGGCATTACTGGAGCCAGACGTAAAGCTCCTCACTATCTGGGCTTACAGCATGTCGATGCAAATGAAACAGGAAAAGCAGGAAGCAACAGTTGGAGGAGTTAAACATCCATCTCCTCTCATTGCAGGCTGATTCTCCAGATGCAAAGGATGAGCTGGCTTGCCTGGAGATGGAGCATCAGAACACACTCAGAGAGGTGAGCTGAGAGGGAAATAAAGGCTGCTTAAAACCTGAAATCAACAGATGTATGTTTTTTAGGGGGAATATTCAGTTAGCGTAAATTCTGTGTGGCAACATATGGTCATTTGTGTGGCAAACAAGAAGAAATTTAGTGCTGAGACAATTAGTCATTCATCACTGCAATCAATTATTATCACTCTGTTTTTCAACATGCATATAAAGTCTCAATGATGACAAAAAACAAGACAAAATTAAAGGTATACCCAAAATACAAAACAAAAAACCATATTCTGCCTTATGCTGTATATACACATACAGAATCAGAGGATTAGCCTTGGTATTGTGGTGCATGACAATTAACATAGTAAGAGAAAAGAAAATGAAAAAAAAACAAGAATCATAAAACAGAAAAAAATGACAATTAAAAAATATATTTAAAAATATGTAAATATATGTTTTCAAAATGAAAAGAACATACAGTGTTTGAAACAAATATTATGGAATATGCAAAATGTTAAAGTTATGTGCATTATGTTCAAAGTATAAAAAATAAGTGCAGTGTGAAGAGATAATGCAGAAAGACTTTATATTAATGTAACTTGTAGTGTCCATGGGATGGGACAGATCAAAACATTACAACACCAAAATGTCAGCTATCAAACCACATCTTGGATCAGGGTACGAGTTTACAAAAGTAAGAAGAGGTTGTTCTTTGGTTTGTTTGAACATGGAGGTTCAACATGGAAAGTGACCGGTAGCGTCTGTAGATAAAACAGCTCATTCTAAGGGAACAAAAACATTCCTATATACAGGTGATTATACACTGACTGACACATGATGAAAACATACCTATGAACATTATATTCCATTTCTGACAATAGATCCTCCTAAATGTTACACACTGGACCTTTAAATGGTAAAAATATCTCAAATTTGAGTTGCTGCTTTTCACTGTTTTTAATTTTAGGTTGAATACTTGTGCGATCACTTTTCGCTCTGATAACCCTGTAATTCATATTTTTTGATATTTTGGCAGTATAAAGATTTTCCATGATTTATACTTTTGAAAGATATTTTTTCCAGTTTATTCTCTAGATTGTATTTATGAAGGCTGCTGCCTGTCTTCCTTTTTTAGACTGACTGTTCAGAGCTTCCTGTGGTTATTTGTTTAGAGGAGTGCCTTTGTTTACTATTTTTATAACCAACCAACAATCCTTTAAATCAATCTCAATTTCCTTGCCTGCATTTATCTTTCTGTCATGTTTTCTTTTTTCTTTTTTACTTCCTTGTATTGAATCCGGATGCAGTCTGAGTAAGAAGAAGAGGTGGTCTCATTCTTCTTACTCACAATGCATTCAAGTTCAGTCATGTTCAATACATAGAAGGACAAAGAGAAAGCAAAAATGTAGGAGATTCAAAACATACAGCACTGAAATTGCACTTCCAATATATTCCAATTATACTTTTCAGTTTGAAAACTTGAAGAATGAAAATGCCACTTTGAAGCAGCGCCTGGAACAGCTGGTGACCAAACTGCAAGACCTAGAAGACAAGAGGAAGGAGGAAAGAGAGAAGAAGCCAGACAGAGAGGAGAAGGAAAAGGAGGAGAAGGTGGAGAGAGGAGTCCAGGGCTCCGAATCCTGTAGGGGAGAGGGGGAAGGAAGGGTGCGGATGATGGAGGAGAGGGAGAGAAGAGGAGAAATCATTGGGACCCACAGGGAAGCCGGAGTTGGGGAAGAGATTCTCCATGTTCGAGGGGGAAAAGAAGAACCATGCGATGAGGAGGTCGAGTCCAAACGAAGAGGAGAGGCAGAGGGAGGGCAGAAAGAAAGAGAGAAACAGGCAAAAGAAAGAGGAATAAAGAAAGAACAGACTACAGTAACAACAAATTTAGAGATCCAAAAGCATCCAAATAGTGTCGAAGATAAAACAGAGACCACGGCTACGGACCAGGCAGCTGTATGTTCCCTGTCTGGTCCTGATGTGGATCTCCTGACAAACCGGCTCCTGGAGGCCCAGGAGGAGGCTGACAGACGGGCAATGGTGGCCCAGGACCTGCGCACCAAACTGGGAGAGCAGAGCAAGAAAACCTGGGAGGCTGAGCAGAGACTGGTTGTCCTGGAGGCAGAGCTACAGCATCTGAAGAAAGCTGCAGAGAGTCTGGGAGACGCCCGCAGGCAGATAGAGGTATGGGTGAATGGACTTTTTCTCTGTGATAAGCTTCACACTACATAGATCCCTCCGGGGACCTTCCTGTGAAAGTTATATATGAGTTCCTTCGTAGGTATTTATAGGAAGCTATGTGAATCATAAAATAAAACGTTACCCTTCAAGCGAGTATTAAAATGTTTGCTGGCAATGTTTATTCCCGGTAGTGGATGCATATATACGTATTTTAGGGATGCACTGATACCGCATATACTGATCAGACCAAATACAAGTACAAGCAGTGAGTGAGAGGACTTAATAATGTCATTCCTGTTGACATTTTCCTACACGAGAAGTAACATAACGTCACACTGCCGTTAAGTGAGAGTAGATTTATGATTAAAATATATATACATATATTTGTTTCTATATATATCTACACACACACACACACACACACACACACACACACACACACACACACACACACACACACACAGACATAGCTGAATATCCTGCTGTTGTTCTCTCAGGCTCTTCAGTCAGAGGGTCTGGTTATGGAGGAGGAGCTGTGCCGTCTGCGCAGCCAAGCAGAGCTTCACAGGATGCAGACCACGGTCATCGCCACCCTGGAGGGAGAGCGGGCTGCGCTGGAGAGAGACAGGGACACGCTACGCAGCGCCATGGACACCATGCGCACTGCCCAGCGCAAGGTTGAAGAGAACACACGCCCAAACACACACACACACTCACACACACACACACACACACACACACACACACACACACACACACACACACACAAACACACACGACACAGCTGTGACACCAAACATTTTCATGACCATGGCAGATGTCATTTTACTTGAGGGAAGATGGATGAGGGGCAGAGGAAAAGGCAAACCAAATGAGCTTTTATGATTTGACACAAATCCCAAATAGCTGATCTAATTATTCTGTAATCTCTTTACATAATGACTTGTTTACATTAAATACATTACATTAGATAAAGGCTCTACTTGCCAAATAAATGTCTTTTGTCTTGCATTTACATCTGAAATCTAATTATATTATTGCGTGGAGAAACTGTTCAGCGGGAGGTGGATTTGACAGCATGAAGTGAAACGGATGATTTCAGCTGCTGTCTGAGAGTGAAACGACATGTTTTTATACACCCAGTATTGCGAGAGCAAGTCTGCTTTGACCTGTGATCTTTACATAGTGACAAGAAACTCCTCAGAGGAGAGATCAGAGGTTAAGGTTATAGTACAACTTATTTAGAGATGAAAATCACCCTTTTTCAGACAGTCATTGCGGGATGTAAACATCTGAAATTTTCTGGAAAAAAATGCGATGCAGAATACTGTGTTTAATGTGCTATTTGCAGTAAAATTGCCAGACATCAGAGAAATTGCAAGATAAGGAAAAGAGCAGTGCTAAGTCAGCATAAAAGAAATACCATAAGAGGGATTCATGAATACCTCCCATTCAGAGAGAGTCATACATAATCCTTCTTCTGATGTTGTAATATTCTGTATCACCCGCCCTCTTTTTATAAAGAGAAGATCAAGTCTTTATTGTGGATGTACCTGTGCATCCACTTACCCAAACATTACTGTCCTTATTTTTTGAATACACTATTTACAGTATTTTTTCTCCAACTCTCTACATATGTTCTGCTATGAAGCTGTGTGATTCAATGAAATTAGGTTCAGTACAGAATCAGAATGAGAATCAGAAATACTTTAATAATCCCAGGGGGAAATTATTTTCGTTACAACACTCCAGATATACAAACGACATATTATACAAACAACATATATATATACACAACATTCAGCACAAAAAATATAAAAAAATATATATAGATAACTATATATATATATACACAAGATCAAATGTACAGTATTAATGTGCAAAAAGTGCAAAAGAATGATTGTTTATGTTTTGAGTCAGAATTACAGAGGAGGGGTGTCTGACTCTCTGAGGGAGGTGTTGTAGAAATTGATGACCACAGGCAGGAATGATTTCCTGTGGCGCTCTGTAGTGCATCTGGGTGAGAGGAGTCTTCTGCTGAAGGTGCTCCTCTGCTGGGCCAGTGTGTCGTAGAGAGGGTGTGAGACATTGTTCAAGATGGACTGAAGCCTGGACAGTATTCTTCTCTCTCCTCCTCCCCTACGACATCACCGGCCCTCCTGATCAGTTTACATCAAGTAGTTTTAGAGTGCTAGTATATGTCAGAGCAAGTAAAGCACAATATTGTTGATTACAGCACTTCAAACAATATATAAATATAGATAACTTTGAAAAATTTTGTATTCCTTTCATTTCCAAAGACCAAAATATCAATCCTCTCTCTTAATGGTACAGCAGTAAGCAGCAAGTACAAATCGAATTAAGAATAAAAATAACTCAAAGCTGCACATCAGCACCAAATAAAAATGTGTTCATTTCATCTCTAAATGATTTACTTCATAAAACAGAATATTTTCCAGTAATGTCTGTGGCAGACTTTGTATTCTGACCACCAGAACGAGAAGCAGAGTCAGAATTAATGGAGATTACAAGAGTGCGTGTTAAATGAAACATGAAGTGCACTCTACTTCTTCCAGCTGTGGGGGTGAATAAAACCCAAATAGGAAATTACAACTCATCTACATCCTCTTTCTCCACTTTGCTTCCCTGTTGTTGTGTGGGTTCAGTCTACTACTCTGTATTGAAACAAATCCAAATACCATAACAATATTTCTATATTACAGTATTGATACTTTTACTTTAGTAGAGGACCTCAATACTTCCTCCACCACTGTGCATGAGATTAAGAAAAACTCCACAGGGTACCCCTACAGGGTTAATTAATTTCTGACTGATAATTTCCACAAGTTACATAAAAAGAATCATGGAGAGAGTCCAAACTAAAAAGTGTGTTGACTGACTGCCAAGATGTCCCACTGAACAATTTAGAAGATCTCTTGTGTAACAGCTTTGGAGCTTTTGAATGTTTATCCATTTTTAGGTGCATCACTTTTTGCTGGCTTTTTAAATATTAATAACATCGTTTATTTAATTTACTGTCAGGCAGGGTGCTGAGCAACACTAATGTCCTCTTGGGACATGTTAGTTTGTGTGTTAATACAATATCTTTCATAGTTGTGTCTCTTTTGCTATTTGCCACTGTGAGTGGGCGACCAAACTAGTTTCCTCTTGTCTCTTCTTCCAGGGTGACCAGTTAGAGCTCACCATTCAGTCTCTCAGGGCGGAGCTGGAACGTCAAGGTCGGAGTTTAGAGACTTCTCGTCGTCGGGAGGAGGAGCTGGACTCGGAGCTCCGCGAGGCCACCTTGGAGGCGGAATCTCTGGCCCGGGCTCGAGACCAGGCACTGCTGGAGGTCTCGAGGCTCGAGCAGGAGAAGGAGGTGTGTCAGTCGGAGCTGGACGACCAACGGAAAGAGGGGAGGCAGAGAGAGAGGGAGGCAGCAAGGCTGAGACAGCAGCTGGAGAGCACGACCCTGGCCCTGGAGCACAGCAACCAGAGAGCTCGGGCTCTGGACGCTGAACACAGGTACACACACTCATGTTCACACACTTAACCTTAATCACGAGCTGAGGTATGCAATTAACTTAACAAGGCATCAGAGAGAGCAACTCGGCTGCACCATGCATTTATCTATAATGTCAACTCTATCTTTATTCAACCTGTGTCTGACCTGTGCTGCTGCTGCTGGTGTGTGTGTGTGTGTGTGTGTGTGTGTGTGTGTGTGTGTGTGTGTGTGTGTGTGGGGCGTGTGTGCAGATGTGTGTGCCAGCAGCTGTCTGAATCCAAGGAGCTCTGTGCTCGGCTGCAGGACCTGGAGAAAGAGCTCAGCAGTCAATTAACCAGCATGGAGGAGGGTAAACAGCAGCTGCAGGAGCAGTATGCAGACGCTCAGGCCAAGATTAGCTCACTGTCCCAGGTGTGTGTGTGTGTGTGTGTGTGTGTGTGACGTGGTAGTTTAGTCCCTGACAGTAATCACTGCTGCAGGGTTGTAGTGGAGGGTGATCTCAGTTTTCTTACCTTATATACACAGCAGAAATTAAGTACCTTTACAAACTGAGATTTGTTCTTATGACATGAATTCATGATAACAATAATTGTTAATTATATTGTATTTCTTTCTGTGTGTTCATATTGAAAAAAAAAATATCAAAAAAGAATGCAGTTGGCTAGATTTTTTGGTGTGTTGTTGATGGACACCATTGCTCCACAATGCAGTGCACATGGGAAATGGAAACTCTGCTTACAGGTGGAAATTAAAAATTAAAACAGCCCCAGGAACACAGTGTGTTCAGAGTATCTCCCACAACAGGATGAAAAATGTACTGTTCACAACATGAACACTGCTTTCTGCTAACAATCCTGAAATGCCATGTGTTGCATTATACAGATGCAACAGCTGTCAGTGATGATGAACATGATGATGACAAGAGAGTGTCCAAAATCTCAACCACACATGAAAATACAAACAAAAACCCCAATTAAATATTTTAGGGAAAAACACCTGTCCTATTAAGGTTAACTGGCTATAGACAGAGTTACAGTTTAATAATTGAGGTTGAATAATTTCCTGTTAGTATACTAACTGCTACCTATTAACTTAGTGTACTGAGAACATTTGTAGATTATTTATTTTATAGAATTAGTATGCACTATGGACCACTGCAGTATTAAAGTGATGCTATGAGGATTCCAGCAAGCTTTGAAGAAGACGAAGATCACAGACTGTTTACCACTATGTTATCTCTCATATTAGGACCTATCGAATGAGCAGGCACGTTCTCAGGAACTGTCCACTGAAGTCCAACGTCTGAGCGGGAAACTACAAAAAGCTGAAGCTGAACTAAAGATGACAACTGATTCTCTCAGCCAATCACAGGAGAGAATAGAGTCGCTCTCCCAATCCCTTAAGAAGAGTGACTCTCTTCTCCAGCTGGAAAAGAGACGAGGAAGCGCGGAGGTGGACGCTGTGTCAAATTCAGACTCCTTGAACAAAACGCACATTTGTCAGACACACCCCCGGGAGACGTCACATCTGGAACAATCCCCTGAAACTGGTAAAGGTCGTGACCTTCACATGACCAATGATTATGCCACAGGCGAGGCAGAGAGGCAACTGAGTGAGAGGTTGATAGAGCTGGAAAAAGAGGTGTGTATCTGATCTTGAATATATTTCTGGGAATGATGTGTGTGTTTTTGTGAGCCTTTGAATCTCATTTACAGGATGTCTGTGTGGTTCAGTGCAATTTCTGTGTGATGGAGATGATCTATATTATGTTGAAACTCTTGCTCTAGGGATGCTTCATGACTATCAACTCACAGCAGGCCGCTACTTCCCCGAGTGCAGCACTTTATTTCTAGAACTACAGCTTTATCTCTGCTCATCAGTTTTTATAATGTCACCTCGGCTACTGTTAATCTTCCTTATCTCGTCTGCTGCTCTCGTGCTGTAGCTCTTACTCTTTTTCTCTCTCTCAAACACACACACACACACACACACACACACACACACACACACACACACACACACACACACACACATATACAGACACACACATAAACTCTAACGTTAAGCTGTAAAGGGGCAGCTCCAGCGCCGCCAAGGTCGGGAATTTCATCCTGTGCATTGCTCAGCTGGTATGGTTCTGCAGTAACGCTATCAGGATTTAAAGTTTTAGATTAGGATAGGTGAAGAAAGGCAGTAACACCTTTAGGGTCCAGTTCCTGCTCCCACCCATACAGTGCAGGGATGCTTCTTGATACACTGCCCAGTAGTGGAAGAAGTACTCAGATTCTTTACTCAAGGAAAAGTAAAAAATGCCCCCCTCCAAAGGGTCACAAGATAAATCTGAGGGGTCATGAGATGAATAATGGGAGTGGAAAGAAGAAACACACATTCACACAGCTACACCCTATTTTCCTTATCTTTGCATTTTTGTGAAATATGAGAAGTTTAGAGGTAAAATGTCTCTGTGTGACACACAGACACTGTTTTTTGTAAGGTTTAATCTTCAACAACATGTCGTATTTTATAAGCTCCTCATATGTTTTTAATGTAATGTATTTACCTGAAAAGGATCTAATAATAACTATAGCTTCTAAATGAAGCTACTGCAGAAAAAACAAAAATATTTCCCTCCTGAAATTTGGATTAGAAATATAAATACTAACCAATACCAGCTGGTGCCCCATGTACCAAGGGGCAGTCCTTGCTGCAGTGGCCATGGGTTCGACTCCAACCTGTGGCCCTTTGCTGTGTGTCATCCATCCTCTCTCTGCCCTTTCCTGTCACTCTTCAGCTGTCACTATCGATTAAAAAAAGCTTCCCAATGTAAATGTAGTGGAGTAGAAATAGAGAGTGGCATTAAAAGAAGACTCAAGTAGAGTACCTCTATGCCTCAGGTACCTCAAACATACGGTGCTTGAATAAATATAGATTGTTACATAATCATTTTGGAGTAAATGTACATATTTACTTTCCACGACAGTAGAGTGAAAAAGCAGGAAATCTAAAAGAACCAGTGAAAAAAGAAATCCCCTGTGTAGCAGTATGATTCACTCAGGTGCTCGTAAGAAATGTGAAAGAATCCAAAATGAAAAAAAAAAGCTGCCACACACCAAAACTGAGCTCCAGACCCTGCAGATGACTCACACAGGAAATGTTGCTGTGCCAGTACTTGCAAGAATACTCAAATAAATTCACATTGTTTAGTGTTTTGCTGCAGGCTCATTTTAATTTTGGATAAAAACACCAGATTTTATACCTTCAGCAATTTTGCAAAATACAACATTGTCTTTTAATTTCTAATCTATCCATCACAATACCCAATCAACACACTCTATTTATCAGAGCAAATTGCACAGTCGAGAATCACAAATACGTGTGCAGATTCGCTGATTGGATTATAAATGCCTGTGCAAAGATTACACTCCCTGAAATCTTTGCAGTAAGTTAACAACAGATGTGGACTAGTTATATATATTTTCAACCTTCATGTTGTACATTTCTGCAAACTTAGTTACACACAGGATGAATTTCATCTCTCTATTTATAGATTGACACAAATGTCACATAAAGCTACCTGACTGGGAGCTCTTTGAAAGGTCAGCTGCAGATTCAGTCGAAGTGCAAATAAAACGGATATTTTACGCGTTGTGTGGCACTAAAGGTAGCAGCTGCTACTGTACATGGCTGTGGACGCTCTCTCAATATGAACTTTCTCTCCCTCAGAAAGCAGTAGTGGTTGCAAGGCAGGAGGCTTTGCTGTCGCGGCTGTCCCAGTCCCAGGAGGCTTGTGAGCACCTTAAAGAGCAGCTGGAGGCTCTGCGCAGGCACTCACTCAGCCTGCAGGACTCCTGCACCAGCCTACAGACACTCAACACCCAGCTGCAGGTGACTGCAGATAGAGAGCATGATTATGGCTAAATTGAACCCTTAAATGGACAAGTTCTGATCATTAGACCCTAATTTATTTGGACATGTGTTACATTACTTCACTGCTTTAACATAGGCGGACACCATATTGTTAGCCATGCTAGAGGCTCTGTGGATGTTGGCCTAACAGTTGGTTGGTCTTGAATTGACATTTAGATTCAGATTTCCATGACATTTGGTCCAGATGTTCATGTTCCCCTCAGGATGAATTATAATAACTTTTGGTGATCCCTTAACATAACATTCTAGCACCATCATTAGGTCAAAATTTCAATATGTCCAATACCTGAAAAACTAACGACCCATCAGCCTCAGCTGTACTTTGTGTTTAGTGTTAATTAGAAAATGTTAGCAACATGCTAAACTAAGTGAAGATGGTAAATATTATACCTGCTAAACATGTAAACATTGTTATAGTGAGTATAGTATAAGTACAGATTTCACTTGTATACTCCACATTGTATCTAGATTGTTTTTTTGAGAAGGCTTTCTTCTTGAAATTGACCACAATTAATGTAAATATATACATATAATATGAATACATATGTAACATATTCATATTCATATTCATATAATTTTTCATAGTACTAGCAGTTTGACAAAGTTCTACACAGTGCTAGCATACTGTAGGTAAAAGTAAACCTATAGTCAACCTTGTATGGGTTTTTAGCTACAGTTTGAAATGTTATCACAGCCATGATCTCTCTCTGTTTTTATACCACATACACAAAAACACACATACAGGTGGAGCAAGGATCCCTGAGCTCCCAGCATGCAGCGGTGCTGGCACGCTGCAGTGAGAGTGAGGCCCGGTCTGCGGCTCTGGAGGCCGAGTCCAAGGTATGGGCACGGGAGCGGGAGGAGTCAGTGGCCAGGATGGAGGCTCTGAGGCGGGACCACGAGCGGATGACGGCGTTGCAGCAGCGGCAGGAGGTGGAGCTGGAGGAGCTGCTGGACAAACACTCTCAGCTGAGGAGCAATAACCGCAGCCTGGAGGCCCAGCACAGGGAGCTGGAGGCCAGGTACAAACACACACTGACTGCATTAAATTAGACCCTTTTATAAACTGGAAAGCATGAAATCCTGACTGTAGATAATTTTTTTCCTATCCTTGTGAGGACTTCTGGTTCTCCAAAGAGCAAAATGTGTCCACTAACACATCTTAAAAAAAAATACACTCTTTCTTCCTGTCATGTATTTGAAGTCATCATTTTTAACGTTGGGGTGAATGTTGTGTTTGCAATCTCAAGGTACAAGGAGCTCCTGGACGGTAAAACCCAGCTGGAGGAGAGAGAGCGGGAGATGAAGTTGGAGAGAGAGGAGATGGAAGCAGAGGCTCAGAGGAGACTGGAGAGAGAACGGGAGCTGGAGAGGCTGACGGAAGACAACGAGAGGTAATAAATTCACTCACCAGTCAGCTTCTTCAGCATTACATTCATGAGATCTGATCATCCTTTCACTCCTCTCCTCTCACTGCATGCATGTTGTTCTGAATATGGAACAGCAGCACCATTAATGCTTCTATATGAATGGGGGAGAAACACTGGGATTGGATTGAATGCAAATGTACTACAGGAATGCACAGAATGCATATTTTGTTCCTGATTTAAGGCTTTTGGGCACAAAACAGCAGCACAGAAATATACGGCACAAGAAATCAAAAATATAGGTTTGTTTGGATATTTAAAAAACCTCAGTTCCAAAAACTTCAACAGCAGTAAATTGAAGGCTTTGGACTCAACAGATTCATTCATCTTAAATGTTTACTTGCAGAGTTTTCTTGATCACATCTGTGTGCATTTAAGCCCCAGACCAGTCTTAATAAGATCTGAGGTTGTTAACGAGTGCTGATTACATTTTATCCTGGGGGTGGTGGGTATATTATGATGGTGATCATCATCATAATATACCATAATTAGTTAATCAACCAGGTTGTTCATCATCATCATATTGATGCTATTGATTACTGACTGTCTCAAATGACGGGTTGCTGGAAACAGGACGGCCTCCTTTGCTGGTTGTCAGTTGACACAGGACTATAAAATAAGAAGGAATAGACTGCTTTTAAATTATGCATATTTGCAATTATAAAAAGAACAGGAAAAAACTTCCCAACCTAAAGAAAATAGCTTGCTAAGCTTTCTAGATTTACTTATTTATTTTCATGCTACTGAAGTAGATACACAGTAATAATGAAATGGATTAATAATTGAGTAAAAACTAAATGGAAACTAATAGAAAAACAATCAACACTAATGTCAATTTAAACACTACCCTACTAGTTTAAAAGAAATGCAAAAATACTACAAAAATAATAGATGTTTGAAAATAGATTAATAAATTAGAGTTTGACAAAGACTGCATATATTTGAGAGAGATCCAGATTTTCTGCTTAATAAAATGAATAAATTACTTAAAGAGTGGACAGGGAAGGGATTTGAAGTCTATTCACAGATGATTACAAACAGTATGATAGACTCATTTGAAACACTTGCAACAAAATTTAAAACAGGTAGCAATAAATCATTCAATAAAACAAAAATCAGGAGGAAGCTAACCATTTATGCCCAGTGTTGTTCTGCAGTTCAGCAGAAAGCCACAAAGATGTTTCATTTAAAGACTCTGTTACAGTATTGTATTAGGCACCATTCAATTAGAAATAGTGTGTACAATAATACACATTAAAGCAATTCAGACGGACATGGTTGGACGTTAAATCATCGTCTATTAACACGTACAAAAATAAATTAACACAGAATAATGTAATGAAAAAACCTGCAATAAAGGAATTTTAAGTATATATATAAAATGAGCATTTCCATGCAATTAAAATATGTGTTTACCTGTTTAGGAATGTAATATTTTAACTGAATTAGACAAAAAATTTAACTGGAAACTATTTTGATAATTGATTAATAATTTTATAATAACAATGTATCAAATGTGAAAACAATGTGAAAGGGGTCACTTGTACTGATGAATCTGCAGCTCCCCTCAGCATTATGCAGACTCATAGTGAGTTTCAGACCATTGTTTACCTCTCTGGCCCTGCAAATTCTCTATTTTGGTTCACTCTCATCGCTCTTATAGTGTCGTCTTCAGTGAAAAAGCTCTAGAAACCCACTGTACACTACCTGCTCAGCACCAAACAGCAGAAAGACAAAGTTAGCGACCAGCTGGTGAACATAGTGGAGCATATAGCAGCTCAAGAGACAGATATTTTCCTCAGGAGCCAAAAGAGGGTGAACTCTTCATGAACAATTTCGACACATCAACTTAAAATGTGATGATGTGTCACTGCTATATTCACAATTTTTTTCTGCTGCCAGTAAAGTGGACAAAAAAATCACTCATTGTAGGTCTCTACTGTCATTAGTTATAGCTTCTCAGATGTGAATATTTGCCTGTTTTTCCTTCTATCATTGTAACTTTATTATGTTTGAGTTTTACATAGTTGATCAGACAAATAATGTCACCATGGACTCTAGGAACTTGTCAATTTTACTGTTTGCTGATATTTTATAGACTGAACATTTTATCGCTTAATCAAGAATATTGTGAATCAAGGAAATCAATTAATCAATTAGATCAAGGGACTGCCATGTTTCTACAGTAGCCCAGAATAGACAAATCAAACAGTGGCTCTAGATAGCTCCGTTCGCCACCATAGTTTGTCCTACACACTTTGGAAGGTTGAGCTGTATTCAGATGGTTGCAATCTGCAACTTCACCACTAGATGTCTTTGAATCCTTCACACTGGTCCTTTAACACAGATAAAAGCTCTCATTCAAAAACACTTTGAATCAACACTGGGAACATAAAATGTGAGATGTTTATTAGTGAATATTACCTAATGTCCCCCACAGTGATAATTAAGAGTTTCATCTCATCTCATTACAGTTCTCATTACAAAATAAAACAAAGATGATTGCTTTGCTCGATAATGCTACTGTTTTTGTAAGCAATGGTCTAAAACCACTGAGTGACCCCATAATGTGTTCTTCTTCTTTTTGCTTTTGTCTGAGATTGTGTCAGATTTTTCTGCGGTCGTTATCTGTCTTTGTGAGGACTCGTGCTGTGTAATAATATAATAATGAGCTTCAGTTTGAGAGCACTTACCAAACAATGGTGCACAGCACTTTACAGGACACACAACAGTGACAGCGATGAGTAAAGCCAGTGTGTGTCGGTGTTGCAGGCTGCAGGCCCAGCAGAAGGAGTGGTTGGCGTCACAGGCGGAGCTGCTGGCTCAGGGCTCTGTGCTGAGGGGGGAGCTGAGCGCGTCCCAGCTGGAGCGGACACGACTGCAGGGGGAGCTCAGCGCCCTGAGGGAAACCAACCAGAGCCTGGACCTCAGCAACGCCCGCCTCACCAGCCAGTACCAGGTATTAACCAGAGACACACACACACAGAAATGTATCTACACACCTGCAGACACACACAGGTGTTTTGTATTCAAGCTGCCAGGCGACCATTGGCATGCAAAAAAGGGATTTAGTGCTTCACAGTGGCGACACTCAGATAAATTACCCTCTTGAAATAAAAAAAACAAATTTATTTAAAGCATTATTGGGCAATTAAACAAAATGTATTAGGACTTCATTGCCGGTTTTAGAGAGTATTTTACATAGTTTGTGGTCAGGGAGGAGCAGCTATCATATCATCAGTGGGGAACAGTTGGTAGCTGATTACTACTTGATTTAGAGCCAATTTCAGCAGGACATATTAGGGGAAAAAATTATATTTTGGTCCAAACAGAAAATGAATACCAAGTAGCTAATAGAGAGTAGGGACATCTTTGCCTTCAGAACAGCTTCAGCCTTGTAAGGCAATGCTGTCAAACAAGTGCAAAATATTTAAAACGTACTTCAAGCAGGAAAGTCTCCAGTTGTTTGAGGGACGAAACAGGTGGAAATTGACTTCCTGTACAAAGCTTAAGAAGTTAACCAGCAGATGTTACCTCTTGCTTTTCTTCTATATATATGTTGTTCATGAAACTAAATCCTAAATAAACTGGTCCTGTAAAGTTTGGTACAGGACATTTAGTCTGCTGATATATGTGGGTGGAAATTTTGCACCAGAAGAAGCAGATACATACAGAATCGGTGCAGGATTCAAGTCAAACGTAGACTAGCCTGTTTTCTGGATTATTGTCAAGTGGTGGGACAGTTTTCTCTTTGCATAATGTCAACCTTTGCACTAGATGTAGATGGTACCAGGTTAACTTCTTAGCTTAGCATAAAGACTGTAAACAGGAGTTCCAAACATAACAGCCAGGCAACCAGAGACTCCAGGAAGTTACTGTATCAAGCAAATAAATAGTACATAATTAAAGAAAGGAAATACCATGTATTAATTACATAATTCTTATTTTCAGCTGCTGGTAGATGGATTTTGTTATCTTTGGACTGCACCAGGCTAGCTGTTTTCCTCTGCTTTCAGTATCTGTGCTAAGCTAATTGCTAATCACCAGCTGGAAGTTGCTTCATATTTACTGTACAGACGTGAGAGTGGTATCGATTTTCTCTTCAGACTCTTGGCAAGAAAGTAAATGAACTTCCCAAAATGTGGAACTATTCCTTTAAATAACTAACAAGTAGCAGATTAATGCTAAATGCGAAGGCCTCCCCTGTTGAGTCTGTTCAGCCTAATTTCTCTCAAATTACTATTTCTAGGTCCTTTTTTGCCTTATTTCTTGCTAAATCATTTCTTTCCCCACTCGAGTTAAATTGTCCCGTAATTCAAAACACTGCTAAAAATGTTGAAGTATCAGCATTCCCAGCATGGACGCCTTATTCTGCCCCACAAAATGCTATATAGCAGGTGGTTCAATCAGACACCCGAGCTTCTCATTATACTGTTTTGCAGAGGTGGCAACTCTTCTCTTTGATCAAAAGTTCAGTTTGGAGCCTGTGTGGACTCACAATTAACCTGTTGCAGCAGCTGTGCTAACTGATGGGGCTAAATTGAACAGGACTGTGGCTAAGACGGCAAAAATAATTGGAATCAGATTCACTGATAAAAAATTAGGAGAAATGTTCAGTAAAGGTGTGACTGTACCTTCTTGTAAGACTTGTATAAGCTTGCAAAGTAAGTGTTTTTTCAGATTTTAGAAAGAGTTACTTGGAAAGTTTTCTAAGCTTAAACATCTATTCAGATGTAGATAAAAGCTCAGAGCTCTTTTACTGCTTAGTTTTGCTTCATAGACTAGGTGATATGGTTTTGTGTGTTAGCCTTGGATGTTCACTGTGTCTTTATGAAGCTGTCAGTGTTCAGGTTTTGCTCAGACAGGTTCATGGAGCAGCTGCTTGACTTCTTTGGTCATTTGTGAGGCCGTGAAGTCTGCAGGTGTGTCATTCAGTTACTCAGTGGTGGTGAGATCTAACCTTGTGCTTCTCAGTTTTGTAAGGTTTTATTAAACAAGTGATATTTTGATATCATTTATTCACCTAATACACATTTTTCAAAGCAGACATATCAATATGTCAGAATCGCAACTGGTTTTTAACTAAATTTTAGTCAACCTGCATAGAGATCCTTTGCACATGCACTCTTTGTTTTAGATGTCCTTTTATATTTGCTTTTCATACTTTGTCCATTTCCTTTAAATGCGCTAACACACTCACATCATCAGGCATGCTCATACTTTAACTTGTACCATATTTCTCCCCAGAACATTTTTGATTTGTTGATTTTGGGCTTTATAAATAACACTGATTGACTATACTTACTAATTAGTCTTTGTAGTATGGATACAGATGCAAACAAAAGCTATATTAATTGATCTTACCTAACTATTCATTTTGCTTCACGTTCCTGGCCTTATGTGTGTAGCTGTTGACCCAGCTGAAGGGGAACATGGAGGAGGAGAACCGACAGTTAGCGGAGCAGAACCAGGGTCTGTTGAAGGAGAACCGGGCCTTACTGGAGCAGAGCCTGGAGCGCCGTGACCAGCATTATTCACAGCAGAGGGAATACCAGTGAGTACTCACACACACACACAAACACAATCCAGATAATTTGTCTTGCTGGGAATTGCTGACAAAAAACAGAAGCGGATCAAACAACAAAGCATCTTAACGCTATTGTTCAAATTATAGCAACAAACTTTATGGAGTGTGTGTGTTAGACTAAAAGCAATTTGTTAACATTGGTAACTTTATTGGTGGCAGTAACACAGTGTTTTAATACACTTACTGTATGTAAAGATTTGAGACTGCAAGACAACAATTTCACAGTCCAACAGCACTCAGCAGTCGTCCTTTTAAATCACTAATAGACTGGTAACAGATTAATCCAGAACTAATAGTGAGCATGCAGTGCTGGCTTCACCCATTAAGTCTAATGAGCCAAATTTCTCTTAAGCTACGAAATTTCTTTTGGTAGCTTAATTTTAAGCTTTAATTCCTGAAATGATGTTTTCCACACAGGTTTCACTTTTTCTTTCCTAAATTACTGAGAAAAATGTTTCACAGTTTCACAGCACATTTTAGTTCAGCTCCCTGCAGAATATATTTTACATTTACATAATTACAGAAAAAATGCTGGAAGGATGGATCCTGGATCTGACTAATAAGAGAAGATATCACCTCAGTGAATCTTTGGAACAAACAAATAATATGTGTAATATAGATTATAGATTGACACAGAATGGAAAAATGTAGTTTTACCTAATTTTTTAAAGGTAAGAATTTCAGGCTAACATTCAGAGTTCTGAAGATTAAAGGCAGAAGATTAAACAGTTTAATAACAACATTTTTATTAGTTTTAGCAGTGCTACGCAGGAATGTTCTGATGAGCAGGGTCACACTTTGTATATATTTCTGACTACAAGTGGCTGGCAGTAACCAAACGAAACACATCAGTGCACCAGGAAAACGCAAGAAGAAGAAGACTGCAAGTCAGCAAAAACAATGCTTATTCCAAAATATAAAAGTAATCTGCTTTGCAAATGTTTTATGAGTAAGGAACTGCATCCAACTCATTTGTTTGCTATTAAGGATACACACAATGAGTTTTGGTGGCGAACAAGAAAACTAGTTTACAAGATAAATTCACAAGGTACCTTTAACAGGACAGACTAACGCCCGATTTAATTTACATGTTAACACCTGAACATCGGGCACACTGAGGGAGGAGTTAATGCTGCTCTAATCTATATTTTTATATTAACAATAGATCAAATGAGTACATGTGAAAAGGGTTGTTTGTACTGACAGCTCCCCTCAGCTCTACACAGCACTTTTGAGTCTTTCAGACCCTTTTTTTTTTGTTTTATGAGCTGCAACTTTACTGCTTTTGGTTGTGTCGTTTCCAGATGCAGGCAGCCGCAACTACCTGGTGAACATAGCATTAAGTATTTCCCTCAGAAGTTAACTACAAAGTAAAACAGAGGGAAAAGAGATATTGGATTTCCATTTGTCAGGCGAGATGTCAGTGTTGTTTTTATACCTTCTTGCGCTTCCCCAAAATGGCAAACAGCTAATACAATTTCAAGGATATAAGGAGGTGCACTACAAGACACTATTGTTTTTGAGAACACATGATTGTTAAAAAGTGAATCGTTATATAAAACTCAGCATCACTCGGGTAGCAAGTTTGCAAGGTACTGGTGACAGACACTGCTGAAATTCAATTAGCTAGAGTGACGCAATCAACACGCCGTCGCTAATATCAAGCACTTTTGATATAGACGGGACTCACTTAAGATGCTATTGCATCACTCTCGGGGTGACCTTCAGAGTGTCACTGCCAAGTTTGTTTTCTGCCCGTCCACATCAAACCAGACTTGAACCAGTGTCACCCTATCCATGCTTCTTTTTTTATTATATTTATATTTGGGGTAATGGTACTTGAAAAAAGAGTTTGTGCTCATTCCCTGATCAGTCCTTTTCCTTCTGAATTACAGTCAAATTCTCCTGATCCAGTTGATTGGAGCGAGTCGAATATTCAATCAGACATTATTCAATGATTTTTCAGCATTAAAGCCAAAGAAATTACAGATTAAAACAAATATGTATCACAGTTTGAAGGCAGCACCGTTGGCATATAAAAAGTCTTATCATTAAGGTCTAAGGTTTATAATCAGTGGTGCATTTTTAGAGCACTTTATTTAAACTGTAGTGTTTATTCCTACAGTTTTGGTTTATTTGAGCAGGAAATCCAGGTCTGTGTCCTGAGCCAAGTAAACTGTGGTGTAGTTCATCAGAAATGAGAATGTAATCCAAACTAACATCAGGATGCTAGTCCAAATAGGGTATCAGGGGTGGACGGGGGCGGATGTTATTATCTCATAGCCAGCAGTTTCTCTTGCTGAGAAAAACAGGCATTAAAATTAGATGAAGACAAAACTGAGTCTGACTGAGGCTCATATTCAGCTTTTTATTGGTGTTCCTCAGTGGAATGAAGAGCAAAGACAAGCTCAACATGAAAATATGAAATGACAAGCAGGATGATGTAACAATGTGCTACATATTAATCCATGTGATATAGTTAAGTCTGAATTTTGGTTTTTAAGATAAATTTATAAACACACTTCACAGACATCTAGGATTCGTGCCTCTTAGCAGTCTTAGTCAGTCTTCTCTTTGTTTTCCCTGAAGAAGTGTCTGGTAAAATATATTTAAGACATTGGAAAGTGTGAAAGACAGTTTAGATTGTTTGATTTACAAAATCACTTTTGTTGTGAGTGATGTTGATCAAATGATGCAGCGACTTTGCCCTTCCGAACTCGTGTTGTGAATTCAGTGAGCAAACGTGAGCAGGCCTCACAAGCTTTCCTAAAATGAACCAAAGTGGCCTTCAAGAGTGCTTCATCAAACTCCAAACGTATTTAATAAATGCTGCTGCAAGCAAGATGTTTTGGTTTGTAGTTGATACACAAACAGATTTTGAAGAGGCAATGAAAACAGAAAAAGTCTGAAGTACACAAAATATAAGCAGAGTCGATGGCCACATTATTGAATTGGAAAATACAATGTGTTAGATCAGAAATATGAAAAATAACAAGATGATGACTCTTACGCCACGTTAGGCTGTATACAGGTACAGTGATGCTTTGAGCTAAACGACTCATGGTGCATGGCGCTTCATTAAAAGATTACCAGACCCAGTAGGATTGATCAGATTTCATAGGAATCCATCAAATAGTTGTTGAGGTATTTTGGACGTTGCCATCCATAGAGCCATGCTGTTAGCTTGGCTACAACAATAAATATTCAATTAAATTCAATTCAGTTTTATTTGTATAGCGCCAATTCATAACAGAAGTTATCTCAGCACACTTTTCAAATAGAGCAGGTCTAGACCGAACTCTTTATAAAACTATTTCAGGAAAAACAGAAACCTCGGACAGACCCCGGCTCTAGGTGGGTGGCCGTCTGCCTCGACCAGTTGGGGTGAGAGAGAGAGACAGAGACAGAGACAGAGAGAGAGTCAGAGAGAGTGAGAGAAAGAGAGAGAGAGAGAGAGAGAGAGAGAGAGAGAGAGAGAGAGAACAGAGGTAACGACAGAAGGACAGAGACAGAGACAGAATATAGAAATAATTAACACAGAAATAGGCTATATACTGTATATATGTTATGTTGCTGCTGCTGTTTTAGTTAAAAACCATGTTTACTGTATTTGTTGCAAGGTAATCCTGTATATATAACAGGATCTTCCATGAATGTTTGCAGTGCAACAGTGTCTCTCAGTGTCACCCTCAAAGCAGAGTCGGCTTTGTTTCTATTTTTTTATTTATTTTTTAGCTTGCTATCGAATATTTGTAGAGATATTTCAGGAACAAAGTGGTGACTCACAGAATAACCGTCCAGTTGACATTCCCATCCCCAGAGCCAAGCCGCCAGCATGACTAAGAATGTACACAGGCCTTGATACTGACCATCGCTCGTCTTTAATAACCTTCCTGATCTTTTCTGCTCACAGCTGTGTGTCAGTAACAAATGGTCAGACTCATACTGGCACCGACTTTACGCTCAGTATTTTGCTTTTGAGCCGTCTTTCATTCAGCGGAGGTTTAGTGAGCACACAGGCTATTTTTTCATCACTGTCCTGCTTTATGTTTGTCCACACCGCAGCTCGAACCCTGAACCCTCTACCCACCAGCAGCACATGAACATGAACATTTTCTTCTTTCTGATCTGCTGGTTTAAAAAGAATCCAGTTCAAACAGCACAGCAGGCTCTCTTTCTCAGTAATGAGTTTATAGGAATGGGCTGATTCATACGCTATCAGTCACATCACATACACACTTCCTAAATAATCTCATCTACTCACACAGATAATGAATGCATGACACGAATCAAACAGTCCTCCCTTTCCTTCATCCTCCTCTCAGCAGCTTTGTTCTGATGCTTTGTGTGTTTTTTCCTTCAGGGAGAAGCTGAGCGAACTCCGTCGGGAGAAGCAGAAGTTGGTGGAGAAGATCATGGATCAGTATAGAGTCCTCGAGCCCAGCATGCAACCTCCTGCCAGCAAGGCCAAGTACTATATTAAAATATATATGCACTTATACACCGAGCTGCCAGTTTATTAGTTAGGGTGAAGGTATGCAAGTGTGTTTGTACAGCATAGTTCAGACACAAAGACAATTCAACGTGCTTCACACAAAGAAAAACAGCAAATGGCATTAAAACATGAATGGATACAAAACATTTTAAGAAGAAATTAAAGAGTAAAAATGCACAAATAAATAGGAAATAGAAGCAGGTGTAATGTGGATAGTGATAAAATGAAATGGCAGATATTACATAATAAAAAACATAAAAACCTCACAAAAATAGGATTTATAGCAGGATTATTGTATTCTATTGTCCCTCTGTATGTATATGATTATTAGGCAACCATCTCTTTTATGACATTATCATACACATTTTGTTAATTAAGAACATTAAAATATAATTACAAAGTAACACAAAAACAATCTCAACACTTTGGTTTACCATTTTATCATTCCCTTCTTCCTTCTCTCCCCGTTGTTTTGTTGGAGCAAATATCAGCTCTGATACATTTTGAGTATGACCAGCTGAATACAATTCAACCATTTGGATTAAATCATATTTTTTCTTGTTATGAAGGTTTCTCTTCCAGACTGTGCAGAGAGAGAGACAATGCATACACTATTTTCCTCAAACAGTTTTTTGGTTGTTTGCCTCCATTTGTAATTTGTGTACAGAATTAGTTTTTGTGTTTTTGAAGTGCAGCTGTCTTAGTTCATAACTTGTTGTCACTTTAGAAGAAGAGAACAGGGCGTTTCTCTCAGAGGACTTGTACCTGTCTTGTATTGGACATCTGGCAACTGTAAATTAAATTTTAATGATTCGTATTGTGTACAAATTGTTTTTTCTTTGAAAGTTTCCCAAACATGCATTTTGTCCCCAGTGCTAAAGATTAATATGGTAACGACATTTTAATTATATCATTTCCAAATGGATTTTCTTGATGTCGTGTTACAAAGTGCTTTCTTTGCCCTAACAAATGACAGTTGGCACTTTATGGAACATTTTGAACTTGCAGGAAACAAACACAATGCATTTTTGTAAACAAGATGCAGCCTTCGTGACACTTGGCATCCTCTTAGTGTTTTCTGGAAAATCACATGTGCACACACACACACACACACACACACACACACACACACACACACACACACTACCAGCTCATCCCTCTTTGTAAATGGTCCCTGTCCTCTGTGTCCTCGTAGGAAATCTAACTGGATTGCAGACAGGATGAAGAAGCTAATCAAACCCCGGGGAGGAGGAAGAGAGGGGCGCGCCCTATTCACCGCCGCGGGCAGCGTGGAAAACCTGGCCGACAGCACCGAATTTACATCAGACACACACGCACCTCAGCCTGGTGAGACCACACACACACAAACACCAGCCGACCGGTTTTCACAAAGATATGCTCACATGCTCACCCCATCAAGCGAGGCTACAGGCATGCATACAAATCATCTCATGACTACCAAGTGTGGTCAGCATTGATACCACTCTCCTCTCCTTAGATCTCTCCCTGCAGAGTGCCAAGACTTACTGAGGCCGGCTTTCTCTGCTAACCACATGTTGAAAGGAAAATATTCGCGAGGCTTTTATTCTCTTTTTATGCACCTTGACTGTTGAATGAAATTACTGGCTGAGAGACGGGAAAAACTCTCTGCAGACATTTTCAAAGCCGGGATTTAAGCCCCAACCTGCATTCATATTTTTTTCTCTCTTTTTGACCTACTGTTATTGTCCCCATTTAATTTAATTTGTGTTTTCTATTATCCCCCTAAAACCCAGCTTTCCTAAACTCGCTTTCTGCTCCTCAACAAGAGGACTGGTGTTTTTGTTTGAGCCTGAATCTCAGAGAGACTCAATCCCTCAACTACACACCAAGTGGAAGAAGTAGAAAATCTCTCCCATAGATGATGCGTGTAGCAAACACAGTATATGACTTTATTGGATGACATTTCCCACAAACTTCACTCCCTCCTGTCTTCTGTGTTTGAGGTGACATTTCCCATAACACCTACATTCAACCCTGAAACTAACCTGCATTGTGGCAGATTAACACTTGACCTTGACCACTGGTCTCAGGTCAGTTTTTATGCTGCAGTCGGTGTTACAGCTCTCTGAAGATGGGACCACAGCAGTTCTCTATCTCATTAAACTAAGTGAGAATTTATGAATAATTTCCATCAAGTTATTTTAATGTCATATAATCTACTGTTGAATTCTGAATCACATTTTAAAAATAAAGGTCAGGCTTGTTAAGCTCCTTTGTTAAGTACTGTGCTTTTAGATTTTCCAGAATTGTTTTAATTAATTATTTATGCATTTAAATATACTTAGATTAGAATTACAATTTAAACAACACGAATAACACATTGTTGACCATGTTGCAGACACATTTTCAATGTAGCGTTTTAATTTTAGCATTATAATTTTTCAGTTTCCTGATTACAATTCTCATTTCAAATGCAGGACTGTGTAATAAAACAAAGGTACTGAACTCCTTCACACTGAATTCATTGAAAAAGCCCACAACACATTGAACTCACACAGCCTGTAGCTTGAGCGTAAAGATGTTGTTTCATTTCGTGAGTTTAAAGGCAGAATGAGTACGGCTGTACATTGTTTCCTAGGAAACATACAAAAATAAAATCCTCTTAATTATCACTTACGACCCACTAGAAGTATCTATCTGCAGAGACCCTGCAGCCCTCTGCCTGTATTTTCTTAACTTTGCTGTGTTTGGGTTGTTTCTGGGTGTCAACCTTTGGGCAGTGGGTGCACAGCCCCCAGCCAATAACAGCAGACTGTAGCACAAATGCCTCTGGTGTCACTGAGCTGGAGAGGAGGGGCCAACTTTGAACGTTGTGTTTAGAAACTGCGTTCTGCCTTTAATGTCTTGAATGTTGCATTTTCAGTAATGTCAGTGTAAAGTGTGCAACATTTCTTCATTCTTCTTTGCCCCTGTTGATTATGGCATTTATTACTATGACTGTGCACTAAATGCCATAAAGGCAAAGTGAAATTAAATTCAAATTAAATTGTAAGAAGAGGTTACTACATTTAAAATATGTCCATATATGTAATTACGTTTATATCATAATTAACAATTTCTACAGTTTACAAATGAATGGATAAATACATACATGCATTGCATACAAGTATAAAGCATGTACATTTAATTGTTTACATATATTTGCTAAATAGGGGTAAATAAGCACTTAAATGTTTTTCTACTTAAGCAGAACAAAGCGCTTCACACAACACTTCACATATTCACACACTCACAGACTGATGGTTGGCAGCGCTGCCTGGCCATCAGGAGCTATTCACTGGGTTTAATGTGTTACTCATCACATTTCCTTAATTTATTTCTGCACCCATCGTCGTCAGAGTCTTTAAAAAAATGCATCTGCACTGGAAGAGAAGTTTTTATGTACATTCCTGGTTTGTGCTGTAAAGCAGTCGAGGAGATTTGTTTCACTTGGTGGCACACAGTGAGAGGTTTAGCACAGAGGAAGACAAATGTTGGAAACCATCACCCTGAGGGTCCTGGACGTTGATTATACTTATATCTCAGAATGTATGATTTACTGATCACCTATAAGATTACTACCATGGCCTTTGTATAAACATGGGATTTAAGTAATAATAACCATCCTTTAATCCATTTCATCCTGTTTCAGACCCCCGCAGTGCTCCTGTCTCTCCCTCTCCAATGAGAAAAGCAGATCCGGACATCTCAGTTCCCGGGACTCCAGCCATGCACTCTGGCTCAAGTGGCCGTCGTAAGCTGGGATCCCGTCATGGCTGGGGGCTTGGGTTGGCCAAAGGAGGCTCTGGAGTTTCCCAATCATTCAGTCCTGGTGACCACAAAACGCCGCCCCGCCTGCGCCTGCGCTCCAGCCAGAACACCTCCTCTGTCCTCTGGGAGGGAGAGAAAGGCGAAACAAACGCACCTCAGCCAGCAGACGCATTATTGACCAGTCAGGAGAGTGTTGAGGAGGATGAAGGCAGAGTTGAGGAGGAGAAAGTAGAATGAGGAAGATGTGTGTCCATGTCTGTACACTTTCAGAAATGTCCACACTAACAAGTTATATAAATGACCTGTTGAGATGGAGTGTTTGTAGTTTCAAGCTATATGCACTGTATTGTGAAAGGTCTATTGGGTAACAAGTTAAATGTCAAGCTGAATAGAAATTGGACTGCAAAGTAAAACTGTGCTCAGAGAGTGGTCTTAACATCTTCAGTCACTCAAAAGAACAGCTTCTTTTTAATAAAACATGCATGTGTCTGTGAGCTTGTGATCTTCTCTGCCTTCCAGACAATCAACTCTCCAGTGACGACACTGCAACGGCCTGAGAAAGAACTGCAGTCCACACTCAATTAAAAAAAATGAATGTTTTATATTATGTGCCCCTGGCAAACTGTTTTGATGCTTTTTGTATGTGTGTCTATTATAAATATGACATTGTTCTAGTATTTTTGAATACTTGAATGAATAAATGATTTCCAGTGTTGCTGAGTTATAAAGGAATGAAGCATCTCTCTAGTGTGGAGCCCCAAAAATGGAGCAACGCCTGCGAGCTAATTCAGGTAGTGAACTCGAGCTGCACTGCTCTACGCACGTCTAAGACTCCATAATCATAAACCAAACACACCCTCCCAATTTAACGCTGTATTTAAGCTGCAAAATCTCCCATCTATTCTTCTGCTCTGTCAGTGCCACTGCTGCCTTGCATCAGTATTGCCACTGCCTGTTCTTAAACCACCACCCCAGCATCCAGCTGCTGGCTCCGGCTAGTTGGTTTAAGATTTGCTCATCATCTTTCTCCGATATCTCTATGTAGACACAACTGCGGGGAGTGATGATGTCGGAGCCTCGACGCCAAACTCTTAACTGTGTTGTGCTGCAGCAATAAACATCTCAACCGTGAGTTATCTGACTAAAATGACAAAATATAGAAAAACATTATTAGATAATTCAGAAATAAGCTGAATACATCAGTTAATAATTTAGTTATTTTCCCCTTACGACAAATTAGTTGATAAGTTACATTAAAATGTTGCTGCTATATATACTTTTCAGTATCTAATTTTTCAATTCCTTAGTTCCTACTTTTTTATAGCAGCTGCCAATAAGGTATATTCTATATATGATCTATATATATATATATATATATATAGATCATATATATCATATATATTACAGAAAATACACACACTGTAAATCTCTCCCACACAGCATTATATGTAGTTCCTTGGAAACAAATAAGAAATACGGAGCAATACTGGTAGAAGTAAAAAACCCTATATACAAATACTCAAGCATTAAAGTTCAGTGCTAGAAATGCTTCATCCTGTCTTCTATAAACCTTTAAAGGATTAGCTAAAAATATTCGGTATTCCTGCTGTTTCTTCTGATCACCTCCTCTTTAAGTTGGCTTACTCATAGTCAAAAAATCACTTTTAAGAGCGGAGCACATAGGAGAAGCTGTCAGATACTGGGTATTCATTAAATGTTGAATATTAGCTCTGAAACAAGTTGAACCAAAAGCTAAAAAATCTGGAATTGACATACCTAATAAAGGTGCTACAAAAATCTATTCAAGATAAAAAAAAACTAAAATATTATTAAGTCATCCGCAATCGAGTTTGAGTCATCACTCTAACGGGTCGGATTTATGCAGGAAGCAAAATAAATACACAAATCTAATGATAAACCCCGGATCTGATCTGTGCACAGCAGGATAAACACAGAGAAACCCCGCCATCTGGCTCACATATGGTTGAAAATCCCATTTCATTTTAGGGTTCCTGTGTAAATCCAGCCATTGATCTAATGGCAAATGATCTGCACTAGTGCTTTAATGAGAATCCTCCTTAACTCCTTTCACTGTTGCACCAAATGGTGTCAGTGTAGAGCCGGCAAGGCCTCTGCCAACAGACAGACAGACAGACGGATGAAGAGGGGTGAATTAGCATGCAGCTTTCCAAATGAGCAGACCTGAGAGTTCATCATGAAGCTAAAAGGACCCTCTTATAAGACAGGCAGCTTCCAAAGAGCCTCTGCCTCCCAGATTAGGATAAGGATACGTCAGCATTTCCGGCAGGGGTTGTTTTTGAGTGTGTGTGTATGCAGAAGACAACACTAAGGATAATGGCAGGCCGTAGCTCTTTCTCTCCAGTCATCCCTCCCCAAACACACATCCTGAATTATGATTTGCAAATGACAAATGGATCGCTAATACAATTCATGAATTATGTAGTTGTCATGGTGACATTAATCAAAAAGCAGGCCCCTTCTCTCGGCTCCGAACATTGTGTTTGTGGAATTGAGATGCATGACGGGGGCTGCACACCGAGCCGCCTGAGTGAGCGCAGGGCAAAGCGATAGCAAGATATTGGTTCTGCCAGTCACTCAGAGGCTTATTATGAGTGCAATGCAACAATCACACGCCCTCAGGCACACAGACAGACAGCACCCACAGACAAAAACTGAAGGCTAAGGCTTTAAATTCTCAACGGAGGAGCCTTGTGGCGAGAACGTTCACAGGTTTGTTTGTTTTTTGTCATTTATCAAGAAATGTTTAGAGATAGGCACTTGAAAAGGAGTATGAATGAAAAACAGGAATATGATTCAACCCCTGTTTATTCAGCAGGATCCTCTTACTGAAATAGACTTGTATTTTAACCCTGCAAGCATAACAAGCAGCAACAACACAAAATCAGTCAAAAAAAAGCCTTGGAAAAAAAAATACTTGTCAGAGAAAAGTCTTGGCACAAAATGAGTGATTAAGTGCCATCTCCACTCCTGATTCCTAAAGCGATGAATGATGGATGGCTGCCTTGGTTGACATCACAGTTGGATCTCAAGAGTCTGCTCAGCTGCTTAATTATTGAGCACCTGAAGGGTGTAACACTATCGGCTAACATCACTTTTTCAGCACTCCTTTTCAATGTTTTTGGCCTTTCTCTCTGTAAAGCCTTCGCTTTCTATTTCCTCTTCCTCGATGAGGTGCTCCCTCTTTCTTTTTTCCCAAACCAAGAAGACTGTTTCCACTTCTGCTGCCCATGTATATCGTTTCTCATCAACCCCCTCTGAACCATTTACCTCCACTCTTTGCCTGAGCAATCAAATTTTAATGACTGTGTCTCACTAAAGAGCCTCCAGCGACCAAAAAACTTTGTTTAAACCACTTTGTCCACTAACGGAACAGGCTAGTCATCCTAAATACTTACAGGTGCATTAGATTTCTGTTTAGTCCCGCTGCTTGCCTCTGAGAGGAATCTGTGCAACTATCAACTGAATCCAAATCAAGCTGTTCTTCGACTCTTCCCAGGCCTGTTTCTGCGGTCTGGCTGATTTAGAATCAGTGCACACTACAGAAACTTCACTTTGGGTTAATAAAAAGTTGTAATTCATGGATTGTTGTTAGGCATTTTCTCCCAGCAGAGGCCCCCGGTTGGGCAGGCACACAGACAAAAGAACGTCGAGGTGATCTTTGATCGAGAAGTGGTGGTGTAATTCAATTAATTATATTTTGCTCCAGGCAACAGAAGTTGGGGAGGGGATCACTGAGAGGGAACACAATACAACTAGGTGAAGAAATAACAAGTAAGTGGAGTGTGTGCGCACACACCGGCTGACCCTACAACCTCGCCTCCTCACAAAACTGTCAAAATCTTCGTTCTTTTACCGGGCTTTTACTCAATGAGGTTAGCCCAAAGGTGAGTCTGTTCATCTATAACTTCCCTCCCTCTGCCTCCATCCGTCTCTCCATCCCTTCCTCTTTACACCACCCTCCCCTCTCTCTTCTATTTCATCATCCTCCTCTCTCTCTCTCTCTCTCTCTCTCCCTCTCTCTCTGTGCTTCACTCGGGATCGTTCCTCCTCTCCTAACAGTTTGTCCCTGCTGCTCCCTCCCTCCTCCTCTTCCTCCCTCATGCACTCCCTTTCTCTCCCCTAGTGTATTAAGGGGCTTTGACGCTCTCAGTAAAAGCTGATTTATTCTCTTGGTGGTATCGATCGGTTTCTGCATTAAAGATTATAATTCATTACCCCGGCCCCTTTTAATACATTAAACACTCAAAATAAAAATAAAATAACCCCTCCGCCCCCCTTACTCCCAGACTCCCCGTGTCTCGAGGGTGCGGGAAAACACTCTTGTCGAGACGTCCGGCCTGTCGTCCTGCGCCCCAGAGCTCAACCTGTGTGTGTGTATGTGTGTGTGTTTCACTGACTCACACATAGAGATACTCACAGAAACACACTACTGCCTTCACACACACACACACACACACTCATGCAGTCTGATACAGTTTTAACACATTGAACACATGCACATCGTTACAAACCCACAATGACAAATCGCTGACGTCAGACAGACTCGTCGTCTCCATCACTCTATAGCCACCAGCAGGTTGACATTTGTGGTTTTGAATGAAATGTCTCAATAACTGTTGGATGGATTGCCATAACATTTGGCACACACATTCATGTCCCCTTCAGGATGAATTGTAATAACTTTGATGATGCCTTAACTTTTCCTCTACTGCCATCATCAAGTCAGAATTATAATTTTCTTTTGTTTATGACCACATGGGGGGAAAGAAAATGACATTCCCATGGTCGTCAGCTGCACTTTGTGTTTAGTGCTAATTAAAAAATGTTATCATGCTTTTTCATACCTTTGGAAAAATAACCTGCTGAACATCAGCATGTTGGTATTGCCACTGTTAGCATGCTGATGCATTAAGCTCAAAGCACTGCTATGTCAGCCTCACAGAGCTGCTAGCATGGCTGTACACTCTTAACCTTGTTTGATATTTCGTAGACTAAAGGATTAATTGTAATTCAGTCAATATCAGTAAAAGACAGTTTGTTCTACCTCAAAGTCGTCTTCTCATCATTTACATGAAATTCCTGAGTGCACAGCAGAAATCACCTGACTCTGCCGATGCTTTGGCCACCAGCAGAATACAGATTCCTTCCAGGCCGGTCAAGTTAAAGATTTGTGTACCTCCTACGTACACTCCCCTGTTAGTCAATACGGCTGGCCTCTGTGGGATAGTAAGGATTTAAGAAGCGCCATGTGTCCCCCTATTGATTTTACCCCAAATGGTCGCACCAATTCCCTGCACAAAACAAGATTGCCCTTCCCCATCGCCTTGACAGATTGATTTTGTATCTTGGCCGTGAGGACTTGAGGAGCAATCCCTCTGATTTTGCCTCCTTGCGCTGTCACTCTGATGGACAATTTCCCTCTCCATTCTTACCTCTCCCCGTGTCTCCTCTTTCTCCTTCCATTAAAGGACTCTTCTACCTCTAAGCTCTAACTTCTCTCTGTCCAGCCTCCCCCCTTTCACAGCCCCCGTCTCTCCCCTCTGCTTCTCTTTCCCTCTGACAGGCTTTCAGACAGTAAATCAGAGACATTGATCCAGCGCAGCGCCCAAGTGTCCTGGATTCTGCTAAAGAGCCATTTTCATTTCACAAGCAGTTTACTGGCCTCACTACCCCCCACCCGTAAACATCGC